GAAGCCGATACTACTGTAACCATCTCATGGACAGATGACCAAACGGCACCTACCTTAGCATCAGAACCCGTCTTTGATATCTTTTTGATGACAGGGGCAGATGACCAACAGACAAAGCTAGCTACAGTATCCTCCGATGTCAATGGCGGAACCACTAAGGATGTCAAATACAAGGTCCCTTTTGTCTACCCTCCTGGTCAAAGTACGATATTCCCCTTATAAAGCGGAAACAAATAATTTAGATTTGTGAAGAAACGTTACTAACTATTTTTCTCTTTCCTTGGACTTACTAAGTTTACTTCCTCATGTTCCAAACCAAGAACCAGAATGCGACCACATGGGCCACCCGTTTTACGATAACGGATATTAATGGTAATCATGGTATGCTTCACCCAGTAATCCCTCCAGGCGGCAAAATCAATCCGGGTGGCCTTGGCCAGATCATCTCTGCGGAAAAGGCACAAGAGCTTTCCGAGGGGAATAAGGCCAGTCCAAAAATGAGTACCCATGGCAATGTCAACAGCAATAGCAACAGAAACTCACCTGATTCATCATCGCCAGCTTACTTGCATGGTGTAGCGAAGTCCTCCTTGGGGCGAGGAGTGGATTCTACAGGGTTGACTAATAATGCTGGCTCCTTGTCTTCGTCAAAGGGCACCTCGTTGGATACGGGCGCACATTCAGGTCAAAGTGATCAAGCAAACAATATTACTCGCAACAGCGGTATTTCAAGCACTGCCTCCTCCTTTGTAATAGCTGCAGCTATCTTCTTTACAGCCTTGATGGGCTTTTGAGAAGAATAACGCATCTACATATCTACCCTACAATTTATCGAAGGTGTTTGTTTTTTGTGAGCAACTCTATAATAGCTTTTTTATCACATCATCTTCACTTGCTAGTGATATATATTCCACAAAATAACTCAAGGAAAGTAAAAACAGAAATAAAAAAAAATAATAGGAGCCATTATGCGCTAGATTGAGTGCTTTTTTTAATATAAACTTGTATATGCAATGAATGTTACTCTGGTCAAATCAGGCTTGAGAAAAGCCTGGGGGGAAAATAAAAGCAAATTCTTTTCTAAAAAGGTGGCCGGGTGCTTATGTTGTTATGATTTAAGGACGAGGAGGGATGGGGAGGTTCTTGTTGGCCTTGTACCACTCTAACTTAGGAGAGTAGTCAGCGGTGTAAAGGTCCAATTCATTCTGAGGGCAGCTGCTCATGCAGATACCAGCCTTGGTCATGAAGTCGCGAGTAGTGGGGGTTCCACGCTCGAAAGTATAGGAGAGTGAAATGATGAAGTATTGGTTGTACTCATCAATATCGTTGTAATTGGCAAAGAAAGTCTTGCCGACGGACTGTTTCGGAGAAGAAAAAAAAAGAAGTGATTAGCAGCAGAACAATGACCTATTATCGATAATAGCTAATCAGTTGGACAGGATGGTTTCTTTATGGCCATCGAGGAGTGTCACGTTACATTGGTGCATTGGGAGACGCATGGGCCCTGGGGAGCGAAGGGGAAGTAGGCGGACTGGGCGCTGGCAATAGAGGCCAAGGCGGCAATAGCGGCAACAACAGAGAAACGCATGGTGAAGTTTTTTAGTAAGCGGGAGACTTTAGGAGAGTGTGATGAGTAGCTCTGAGCGTGAAGGATAATAAGAAAAAAAAAAAAAAAAAAAAAAAAGATAAGTTTAGGACCCTTTTATATAATCGAGGGTCATGCTTTAAGATTTGTTTTTATTATTATCATTTTTCCTAACCATCGAGTGATAGAAGTTACCAACTCACCCTTATCAGATCCTGAGGCCAGGGTTCTGGGCTGCCTCGCCTTCCTCTTCCTCGGTATACATATTCTGTATATATTATCGGATGTAACATCAAGAAACCTATTCTATGCAGGCATTGTGCAGAGCTACGTATGATGCATAAGGGTATATTGTGGCGTTGTGTACAGATCAATATTTAGGTATCTACGCAGGATGTCCAAAAGAAAGTGAAGGTTTACAATAACCGGCTGAGAACTTTGTTCAGGGACTAAACAATAGAATTCTAGAAGCGAGCCTTTTTTTTGGAACTTGGGTGAACGAAACGAGGAATTCGAAAAGTATGCGTGTAGTGTGAGCCGCATAGTTTGTCCACTAAATTTATTTGTCGGGAAGCAGAACAAACAATTAGGCAGAACAAACAATTGGGCAGAAAAAGAAAGTTTTGCGGAGAAACGGATCATTCCGGGGAACATAGTGCAGCCAACCAGTCTTTGGTGCAAAATGTAGGAACTTTACATACTTATAAAAATCGGTTCATTCATACAAGAATGGTATATACATGTGCACATCTGTATAGTCTTTGTCAGAGTGCGTCAACGAATGTAAGACTCCATCACAAGGCTTTTTAGGGGAGAAAAAGAAGCGCAGGGGCAGCAGTATACATGTGGCCAAGTGACAAATACTAAATAACAAATAAAAAAATAAAAAAAAAAAAAAAAAATACATATCCCATGGTTAAGAAAGCAAGGCCAAGCCAAATAAATCCATATTAAAAGGAAGAGACGAGGGAGGGGGATAGGAAATTGGCGGATCGAATATATGCGGTGTGTGAAATGGACCTTGCAGTGCTCTCTTTTTTTGTTTGATGTATGTAGTGTTTGTCTGATTGCCTAAATTCTAAATTGATCATTACATGGTGAATGCAGAGTCACCGATGAATGTAGCACACGTAAATTTACACAACCACATTTGCGTTGTATGAGTGGGCTTTAATTTTCCAACTCCGTTGGGAACCATCTGATAACGCCAAACTTTTGTCTCTTACACGTGCTCTATGAATTGTTATCAGATCGAAAACTGACAAAATAAACCGTTTCCCGTGGACCAAAATATATATATATACATGTAACAAAGAATCGAATTGCTGATTGAGCGAACCATAAAATGCACACATTAAGTATAGATGTATACATAAAGAGTCGACGATATTAAGTGTTTACACACTCAAATTCAGGAACGAATGTAGCTCTGCGCCCAATCTTCTTTTACATATCATTTGTTTTGTATTCTTTAGAGTCTGTTGACGGGTGATGGTGAATTAATCAGATATATTTATGATACACTATCCTATTTATTCAATCAACTCAGATTCTCAGATTTGTATAAATCGATACATATATCCGTTTAGCAGGAAACCTGTCAACCTTGTATACTTAATGCAATTTTGTTTTCAGTCCCTCTGTATGCTCTACATCTATAATAGATCCTACTGTAACCGAGTCAACAAAAAAAAAAAAAAAAAAAAAATTGCCGAGAAAGCCATACGTACCATGCATCGATTTTTTTTTTTCCTATCCTTCTGTCATACAAGGCACGCGAGAGTATCCTCATGTCTGGTCTGACCTGTGTGTAAGAAATACATATACATCATGTTGCATATTGACATTTATCCATTGACCGGAAGATAATTATGAAAGGGTGATCCCTGGATGAAAATGTGTTTGTCTAGAATTTGAAAGATTATTAGTCATCTTAGGGCTTTAGTAACCTACTGTAGGCCATCATAGCCCTTCCCCCTGTTGCTTCTACATCTCCTGTTGGCTGGATAACTTGCTCACAGGTACAACTAAAACACATTTCTATTTGAAACTGCTAATGCCGAGACGCGTGTCTCTCTGCGCCCTACGCTCCTTTATTTGTATTATTATTAGCCCCATTTATTACTATCACCATGATATTGAAGGTATAGTAACTGTTAAAAGAAACATTTGAAGCACTTTAACTTGAATCGCGTATAAACTCAAAGGACTCCTAAAAGCTATGAAAGCTCTCATGCGCATCATACGATTGCCTATTGCAAGCTGGCCCTACCCTTTACAGTGCCAAACACCTTGTGCCAAACACCTTGTGCTAACCCTCCTTCCCTGTTATGCACGGTATCGCAAAATAACTAAAGTGGAAGAGAAGTATATTATACTTAGTTTTTTGTTCTCATAGAAGTATAGTTGGTTGTTGGTTACGATCGAACAGACACTGTAATGAAAATCATGATAACGAAGCTGGCATAATTGGTCTGGCGCCACAACTTAGAGCTTTGAGGAATAAACATTGAGTGGCGAGCCTTGTTGATGGGGCACACATAGGGATTTAATCATCTCAGATTGTTATTGATGAAGCTTGTTATCTTCTCAGAAATGAAAATCAATATCATATTTCCAAGCTTATTCTCTTTTTGACGCGCTTTCCATCCTATAAGAACAGTAATCCTGCTTTTACAGTGTCATTCTTCTCTATTTCCACTCGATAAAATACCTACATCAAGGAAAAAGACTGGCTGAGGATTCTTTGGGAGTGGATTGAAACCGCACACACTTTTAACTGTTTCAGTAAAGTAGAGAAATACTTCAGGGAATCACGAAATCAAGATAGACATATACAAAGAGTTAATTGAGAGTAATCAATCTCGATACGCGATGGTTTTTGCGTGCAAAAGGAACAAGGAATCAAAGTCTACTGAGCCCTTCTTATTTTTTGGTTGATGGTGGGTTGACCCTTGTCCCAAGGTCTGCACAAGTTTATAAAGTTCAACAACGGTCTTCATCATGAGAGCTCACCTTGTTTCAACTTTCTCTTTTCATGCTCAGAAAATTCAGTGTTCCCATCATGTTATTCGAGAACATTATGGTGTCCTCACAGCGAAGATTGACCTAGAATATGTCTCTAATATGCACCGAAATCTTCAAAGTAACCAGTCTTTACTGAATCCTCGGCTTGAGATGGACATACATTCTCCTTGGAAGCATGATTCAAAACATCGGCTTCTCAATGGCAGTGCACTAGTCTTAGACACCTTTTATGGGACCTTTCGTGGCATTATTACCGTCTGTTCTTCTTTGTGGTGACTATCTACATCTTTTGCCTTTATGAAATAAGTTTACACTCGCTGTTATCAAGAATGCAGGGCAGTGTAGAGCACTGCACTATATTTTTGAATGTTAACAAAAAAGAAAATAAAAAGAAGCCGGTTGACCTTGCGCAAATGCGCAAATGGTGATCATTGCCGACAAGCGAAAACTGTGCTACGCCCTATTCATGGGGTAAAAGTGGTCGGAACTTGGTAAAGGTAGTGGAAGGATGAATGTGATGAATGAATGAATGATCAGTGATTGAAATGAGATTTAAGATTGACAAGTCGCATTTAGTGTATGTGTAACAGGAGCTTGGAATAATTAATTAAGACATGCATGTCTGTTCTTGTTTGTTGCAGCATGCCACATCATGTCATCCTCAAGTGTGGCATTCAACCCCCTGAGTCAATACAAATACATGCTTTGATTCCATTGGCTAGTAATCTAGTAGTAACTAGTAGATAGAAATGCATGCACGCGTCAAATTCTCAAGAAATATCTTTCCATTCTGAAAGCATTGGCTGAAATTAAGGACATCCGAATCCTTCCTGACTTCAAGACGGAAATGCGGCAGCTGTGATTCTTATTATTATTTTTTATAGAATATATTTCATCTTTTCATTTCCTCCCTCCACTCACGCCTTTCTATCCCTTGTCCATTCCTCTCTACACACCATTTCCCTCCACGGCTAGCGACAACCACCTATTCCCTACTATTTAATTGCATTCACGTTTTATCCAAATACAAAAAATGAAGTTACTCATCCGAGCCTCTGTAGCTATTCTTCTTGTAACATCAGCGTTTGCAGGGCCAGGCAGCCTTCAAGATTTCCTGAATGATCCTCAGGTGGCCAAGCTAGCACCTAACCTCGTCAGCTACATGAACACCCATGAATTTGAAACCTCAGCCAATACCGCTTACTATTACAATAACTTGATTGTACCTGAGACTGGTGAGCAGGTGCCATTACTACAAGATTTGATTGCGATTGCGTCCCAGCTCGTATTTTCCTCCAAGGATAACAAGGATGCAGACTGGTCCCGGCTCGAAGCTGCCAAGCTCAAGGCGATTCAGTCATATGGTGAAGCTGGCTTGGAGTCTGCAAATCTGACAGCAATTGATATTCAGCGAGCATCGTTGATTGTGAACACGATCTATGATACGGTACTGCAACTGCCACTCAGCAGTAAGGCCCTATATGAGGACAAGGCAGCTGAAGCCAGCACTTCGCCGTTCTGGCGTTGGATTGGCTCTGGATTGATCAAGTCCTCAGATGTAGTAAAAAATATCAAGTCAGTGGTATCTCCGGCCAATCAGTGTGTCACAGATAATGAGGCATACTTGGATGGGGCAGAGGAAGCCATCTACTACAGTTCGCTAGCAGATGGTCTTGTTGGGGGAGCTCCGGTAGCGATGCCAAATGACCCGACGGCCAACTCATTAAGTTTAGGGACAATTGTCACATCTGTAGGTAAATTAGCCATAGAAATCCACATGGCACAATCCGTGGCCAGGTCAGCAGACCTAAACCCGAACGATGAAGCTGTTCGAGCTATGGTGTACCTGGGATTAGCAGCTGATTCACTCGTGTCCGATTATGCACTGACGGCGAAGGATCTGTTAAAGTTGAAGAGTCATAAACTGATAAAGAAAGTGCCGGATTCTGCAACCCAAGCGCTGGAACAACAGGCTGCGATAGTGCTGGTTACAAAAGGTGCAGGGCGTGTTGACGGACAAAGGTCATTCCCACAGATACCAATGATTCGAAATCTCTTTGCATTCAGTAATGGGGTCTTGAACGCGAGTAAGGTTGGGGATGTGCTCAAGAATGTATTCTGTCCTGTTAAAAATGATGAAGGGACGGAGAATCTACAAGCAACTGATGCTGATCTGAACAACACCGTGGATGAAGGGCAGAAAAGCGCTGAAGACGTTAAGCCTGAAGAAGATACTAAGCCAGAAGAGAATGCTAAGTCTGAAGATGCTGATGCTGAGGACGAGGACGAGGCTGTTGGTGATGAGAATGCTGAGAATGACGTTGAGGGCAACGATAGCGCAGATGTTGAACAGAAAAAAGGCCAGCAGCGAGAACAAAAGAAGCAATGACAGCAGCATTAAAAGTGGAGCCAGAAACTGTTGGGTGTTAAAAAGCCATTTCTCTCTTGGCAATCACTCATTAATACCACATCAGAGAAACTTGAAGAAATAAATGTTCTTAATCAATCCTTCTCAGCTTATGCAATGGATCTTTATTTTTCCCTAACTATGTGGTATATTGGGTCATGCATTGCTTCTTTGAGAGCCCGTGAGTGAATGATGGGAACGCTGGTGCTGAATGCTTTGGAAGGTTCAATTTAGAATCCCTGCATTTGTTGCTGCCTTTAATAATAGGGCCTACAGCGGTCATATATCCTCTCCAAGAATCGAATGTTGTGACTTACCATTTAAAACATTTGGTTTTAGATCCCCCTGTTTCATATCATAATAAGTACTGAAAAGATATCGTCCCCATCAGATGTACTGGCTGCACAATAGATATCCATATGATTATGAGTTCTCTTTGACTTGTATAAATAATTTCTTTGTAATCCAAGCTATCCAAGTTATCCAAGCTTATTTAAAGCCAGAACCATAAAAGGATGGTCATTAGCACCCACACTCAGCACCGACCGACAACAACCACTCGAACGGCATCACAAGTAAAGGCCTAATTGGCAATTTTAAGCTATGCACTGCTTGGCTGAGCAAGAGGGCTTTTGACCTAGTGGAGGAAGAGAGATAATGAATTTCGCCACAATCCCCAATGCCATCGATGAACGGACAAATCAAACGCTTTAAAATTATCTCAGCCGGAGGATACGATGATGTAAGAACAAAGCAGTCCTGGGCTCTTCCATGTAAAGAGATATGAATCAAAGGTTCTCCAGATGGGATATCGAGCCTAGAGACAATGTGGAAGACGGCCATATACCCTTATAGCACCCACTGGGCGAAGTAAGCACGCGTTAATATCTCAACAGCACATTTGTAGCGTGCCCTTCCTTTTTTCTCTCCACCACCTCATCTCAAAACATTTTTTCTTTTGCCAAAGATATCCATGGCCCAGTTTTTTTTTTTTTTTTTTTTTTTTTTGCTTATCTTACATGACCGCAGCGATCCGCCGTCCCGTTTAATTTTATTCATTAATGCTGCCCGCTTTGCGCGTGTGTACGTTTGTGAGTTTGTGCATTCTCCTTTGACCCTGTCGTAAATGGAACATGATTCTACCCCTTTAAATATTTCGGATAGTGGCAGGGGAAGGCCACTGCACTGCGCTGTAGCCAGAGGAGGAAATGATGACATTGATAATTCCGCATGTCAAAATACGCACATGATGTGTTACCATCCGCCTGAATCCTTTTTTTATTCATTGATGCAATCACAATCCCTCCTTTCTCTCTCTTCTCCATTTTTCTCACCAGGTGCCCTTGGCATTTTTGATATTTCTCTATTCCTTCGTTTTCTGTATCTCACTTCCAATTTTTTCATACATTTCAAAGCAAGCAGCTCACTACATATACTACTTTCCTACATCACTGCTGTTCTGTCTGCTCTTTCTTGGCATCTTTTTTCTAACGTTGCTATCACCCGATGCATTACGTCTTGTGAATTTTTTTTTTTTTTTTTTTTTTTTTTGCGTGACCATTCTTTAATAGCCTTACTGGGTTGCGCTAAAAAAATATCATTTTCCTCTCTCCCCCTGTCTTCTGCTTCGCCCATAATCATCTAGAAGCATGCTATCATCCAACAAACCTACAGATTCAAGCACGCCATCGCATCCTCAACCTTCTTTAAACGACCCAACACTCTCTACCTTGACCCCAGTGGCAGAATCCAATCCCCATCCGCCGAGGATGCAGCGCTTCACTCGGCCAGAAGACCTAGCAGATTTAGAAGTTTTAAACACAAGGGTCGCAACGGCTCTGAGCGATGAGCAAGGGCATCGCCAGCATCCACAACAGCAGCAACAACAGCAGCACCGAGAGCTGTTAAGGCGATACATGGATGCACATACTACCTTCCTCAATAGTTCTGATACAGAAGGATCCGGCTATATCCCAGGCCGGGTCACTACATCGTTGTTCACAGATTTACATTCACATGGAGATAGCTATCACGTGTATCGAGGAAGCCATGGTCAAAGTCCGTTATCATCATCAATAATATCATCATCGTCGCTATCAATACCACTGCCGCTGCATACAACCACGCATGATGGCCCTTCTTCTCCTTCATTTACTGAAGATGATGAATATGGATCTGGGTCTGGTTATGGATATACAGCTCCAGGTTCACCTCAGAGCATTGTTTCAAGTGCATCTCTTAGTGGTTATTATTATCCACATTCGCATCCCTCACGCCCACTGTCCCAAACAGGTTTTTGGGCTGACCAAGCAGCTTCTTCCTTTAATCTCATTATGCCTTCATCTGCTATGTTTGCTACTGGTAAAGAGCCCACTGCGGATGGGGACAAACTCGGGTTTGTGAAACTGATGATTGGGGGTCGTAGTCGGAAATGGCACACTAGTATAATACAGGATATCTTCAAGTGGGAGGGGATCATTGCAAATGATTTTGAAGATGAGTTTCTCCATGAGCCGCCGCCTTTACCACCACCGCAGCTGCAGCAGCCAGTGGCACAAGTGAATGCTGCTATTATCAATGTTGCAACAGCTACAGTGGCTGCGCATGAGGAGGGTATTGTTCCAAGTGTGGGAGTTGGGGATGATGTGAATGAACCAAAACAGCAGCGTCAACGAGAGATGCAACAATTACAACAAAAACGTGTTCAGTACGAAGAGTCTTCAGAGGTAATTGTAGAACACTATGCATCATCGATGGTTCTACCAGCTTGGGCGCGTGCAGGCTTAGATTACCGGGATACTCAACAAGAAATTCTTGTCAAGAACATTTGGTAAAAAAAATCTTTCAAGATTGAATACTGAAGAGAATGTTTATCTATCTCTTCTAATACCCTTTTTTTTTTATCTCATTCCTTATAGTTTCGTTGACACGCCTGGTTACGACACATTCAGTAATCCTAACCGGGCCATGGATTTAGTGATGTCGTACGTGGGTCTACAGTTCCAAACTACCAATGAGTTTTTCTCTCGATCTGCAAGAAGTGATGACGCATTAGGGCGGTTCCTTGCCAACAACACAACAGGGGCACACTCACATGTAGATGTCTGTATCTATGTGATCGAGGGGCAGTTGACGGAACAGGATATCGCGTATATGCAACGCTTACAAACAATGGTCAACTTAGTCCCTCTGATTTTGATGACACCCAACATTACCACACAGGCAGTTGATGTTGCTGCCATTCGATCGGAACTGATTCGGCAGTTGTGTGAGAATGATATTGAAATTTACGGCATGGTAGAATCAGGAAGCGGAAGAGGAGGTGGGGTAAGAGAGACGCGGGCTTTCTCGGCTGATTCTCCATACTTGACACATGCGACAGCATCGGAAGAAGAGGAGCTCTCACCTCCTCCGTTGTCGCTTGGCGAAGGTTTGTTGTGTCCGGAATTCACCTCTCCACCCTTTGTTTATTTCGTTCCACAGGCTTCCGATAGTAAAGTGCAAGTTGAGGGTCAAAGCGCTAAAAATGATAAAAAGACAGAATCGAATTTGCATGCGTCACCATCATTTCCCTTGGCATTACCATCAGCATCATCGCTCACTTCGGATCTCGGTTCTGTTCGAAAATGGATCTTTGTGGAGCATTTAGCAGCGCTTCGGCATCACACGACTCTCAAGTTCTTACGATGGAGAAGGAATTGGCAGGTAACGATGGCATCTTCACCATCGCTCATGTATTCATCTATGGAATCCGGTTCTTCTTCGCTTCGTCAACGGCAACATTCGAGTAATCATGGTAGCAACAACAGTATCAATAACAGTAGCGCCAGTAGAGTTAGCAATAACGCTCATAGCGGTCAACATTTGATACCTCCAAATGTGTCTGACTATTTGTCCGGGCCTCAGAGTCAGAGCCGAGTAGCCTCGGTAAACGTGACAGCAACTCATAATCTACCTTCGTCCACTTCTGTTGGACCATCACCATTATCTCACCAGCAGCAACGGCATTCACCAACAGTGCTCGTGGGCGAACTTTTAGCACGTGAAAGGAAAAGAATCTCTTTAAAAGTGGCTCGGATGTTGGAAACACACAGCCAAGTTTTTGAACGGATCATGTTGGAGAGGAAGGAAGCATGGAGACAAGCACTTCAAGGGATCGAACGTGAGCAAAGGATCGATTTTCTAGTGCAAGAAATCAAACGCTGGGCGATGGCGGAGTATCACACCCACAATCAGACTCAGAATCAGACTCATTCTCTGGGATCTGAGTATCCAATTGGTAACATTGACTCTGCGTCTTATTCATACCGCACTCAGTCAACATCATACCATCAGCAACAAAAGCACCAACATCAGTACCAACAAAATCCTCAAGTCCGTCACAACTATCGCCACCCATATTCAAGCTCGTTATTATCAAAAAAATCGCTTTTGGAATCGAGGCGTAGCTCTCATAGCAACATGGTTGGCTTGGGACTTGAGGCAGGAGGACCTGTAGTTCCCTTGGATGCAGAGCCATCGCTTCTAGATGTTTTGGACCTACAACAACCACAGGGAAGTGAGCATAGTGGACCCTCAATAACAGGAAAGAAAAATAGCAACAGTACTACTGCTATTACTACTGATACTGCTCGTCACCAACATTCCCAACGGAAATCATTACTGGACAAGAAAACCTCACCATCACGCTCAAGAATGAATAAACAAGGAGATAGCATTGGGTGTGGTCGCGATCAGGCTGGTGATAAGGACCCGCTTGGTCTTGGACTGTGGATGAGCCAACTCTTTGGAGCAGTAGGCAACGGAATTATCCATGTCGTTGCAATTGTTGGGATGAGTAGTTTGGCCACATTTATCTACACACATTTCTTGGAACATCGTGTGACGTGGATTGGATAGCAACATTTTGCCTCCACTCACTTTTTTTTTTCTTCGGTCTGCTCTGTAGCCCTCTGATACAACTCTTCTTTGAGATTTGGCGTGGTATGTGGAGAAATACTAGTCAGTGAAAAATATTGTGTTCAAAGAAGAAAGTGAACGCTTATTAAAATAAAGAGAAAGCTTTGTAGCAGTTGAGGATAAAATGAATAAGAGACTTGAGAGTGTAAATGATAATTATTATTCATGAACAGCAAGGAGCTGAGATGGAGTGCAGCATTTTGTACGACACGGAAAATAGGGCCTAGGCATATTCGAAGCATTTTATTTACATGTAGTAGTCTACAGACATTCAGGGAGAGTCCCTCATCGTCGGAACAGGGATTAGAGGCTACTATCTACGATTTTAGTGGAATAACAGTAACTCCAATAGCCCTATCCCGCGTGTGAGTTGCACTATAAAAGAAAGAGTCAAACCCAATCGACAGGACAAAAAAAAGGACTTACCCTTGATAGGATTGTCTTTACTTTTTGTGATCGCCTAAAGAACAAGCGATGCAAGCACTCTTCCTATCTTTAGACAAATATGCCCATTAGAAGGCCTGGGATGCAATTCACTCCTATGCTTTTCGTGTGACATGTAAAAAGAAAATATGAAGCCCTTCGATTTATTAAGTTCCTGGAAAAAGTTGGGATAATAAATAATGCTCCAGCTCCTTCCGAAGAGCAGGCTAGGGATCATACTCTTCTTTTGTTGATATCTATATGCTAGGTGTTGCAGACTTCAGTAAAGTCGAGAATAGTGGTAGTGCTGAACAATATCTGTAGCTGAAGGACTTGGTCGCCTGTATTTCCTTCATGGAACTTTAAAGTTAAACAGTAGAATATGGTAACTGCGGGTTTTCTAGGCATTAGAAGCTCAGCTGGCGTCTGATGAGATCAACCCACAATTATTCAATAACCCTGAGCAAGGTTCTGAATTGAATGAAAAAATGGTCATATGCTTGAAAACTTGCCTCTGAGGAAGCTACCGTGGATTATAATCCATCAACCACCTAAAAAAAAAGACTTGACTTCAAATATGGCTCTGGAAAGGCTACCAAACTTGACTGGTCGAACAGTCCTTCTTGGCGATAGTAAACCAAACAAACAAATAAAGAAAAAAAAAACGGCGTATTATAAAGTTAAGCAATTTCTCCAACATACCGTTATTGGTACTTGCCCCCTCAAGTTTAAAAAAGGACAATTTCTGCTTCATCAACTCTTTTTATCGGTAATGCCTTGTCATTGTAAGATTTCTACGTGCTGTTTTTTTCTCTTGAAATATATATTGACGCCGGCAAGGTATTGTATCTATTGCCCTCTTCTTCTTTTTTATGTGTGGGCGGAGCCAAGAGTGGAAAGCGCGATGCATGATGCAGTGGTGACAGTGAAGCATTCAAAGAGAATACCATCGTCAGTGGTATAATTATGCTGCTAGAGCTGCAAAAGCCAACATCAAGTCGGATTTAGTCCAGGTAAGGGAAGCAAAACAATACAAAACACAAAACGCTTTCTTTGTTTGTACCCTTGAATTTTTATTTTTTATTTTTTATTTTTTTTTTATTTTTTATTTTTATTTTTCAAAAAAGGCTAAAAAACTTACTAAATGCCTGTACAAAACAGTTACAACGCCAACTCATGGACTCATGGTCAGCTAAATCTCATAATAGGCTCATAACCGAATGAACCTCAAAAGCGTCGAGTGTCGTTCATAGGTCGCATGATTACCGCTGGCTAAGGATCACAGTTGAGCGCGTGTTTTGCCGCAAAGAACGGCTAAATCAACAGCTTCAGAAGGATTGAGGCGAGAGTGGGTTCCAAGAGCGCGTTTATGTTTTTTTAGGATTCCGCGGTAAAAAATTTAATTGGTCCGCAACACATCCGAGGTGATCCAGAAAAACTGGGTTATACTATCATCACCCCTGTTTAGCCTACTTTATGTTTATTCAATCCTCGTTTACCTTGTTTAAACTACTTTATCAACAGTAAAAACATTCTCAATTATTTGCTGCTGTGCGAATTTTTTTGCATGATCAACACCCCTTTTTGGATGATCTGTATAATACTTTTATTCCATCCCCTCCCCCTTTTTTTTCCCGTCCTTATTGTTCTACTATAATGTGGCAGGTATTTCACAAATCCACAATCCCAGCTGATTATCATGTTGCAGCAGCGGTGGCAACAGACGATAGTGGAAAAAGGCAGAGTCGTGTGGGTGCAATTGTAGCAACAGTAGAAACCGACCCAAAACTACCCAGAATTTAAGCGTCAGCCAAGCTAAAAATCGCTTCGCCAACTAATTTTTTTTTTTTTAATACAAAAAGCAGCCTGCGCGTTTTCGTCCTTGGGGTTCTACCTCTCTCTTTCTTTCTCTATTCTTCTTTCTCCATGTTCTTTTTCTTCCTCTCTTTCAGTCTTTTTTTTTCTTTTTTTTTTACCTTATCATCCATTTTTGCTCCTACATCTTTTCCCAACTTCACCATTCACCCCACTTTTTGTTACACACCATACTTTTTTTTTTTTTTTTTTTTTTTTTTTCATCTTGAACAACAGAACGCGCGTAATATTCCGTTGCTGCTGCTTACTTTTAAGCGCAAGTGCAGTAAGCGATCCTCTTATTTATTTTTGAGATGCATTGGGTTGAGTACTTGACACGCTCCTTATAAAAAAAAAAAAAAAAAAAAAAAAAAAAACTATTGCTCTATTGGATTCATAACACGTAGACATGGGAATCAAGTGCCTCTGCCAATTTTTTAAGGATAAAGAAAAGAGGCCTCCCTAAGGAATAAGACTTACCTCGACAGCGACGCGAACAGAAGCCGTTCCAGCTGTTCCGACTATGTTGAGCGCACAACGGCCACAGCCCTGCCCAACACACTTGATTCCGCACACTGTTCTCATCATACATATGAGCCCAGTGTGGCCGAGGAAAAAAAGTCTCGTGTTGAGCAAAATGCCAAGAGGATGAAGACCCAGGCCACTCTCCAGACGAACTTTGCACAAATGACCTCAAGAGCACGACGCTCTATTCAGAAAATACACCAATTGTATGTGCTTGACGATAAGAGCAAACGGCCTTTTCTCTTTGGATTATAAACCCATGCTCATGAGCCATATGTTTCTCAAGCGTAGGTCCAATACCATTATCGCTTAGCCTGTAATGAACCTGTAGTACAGTATTGATCCCTAACGCTATGGTCAGGCGATTATAACATCAGATAGAAGCCTTGTGGATGGAAGCATCAGTTCCGGCCTAAGTCAAGGGAGCCATCACTTCCGGCACAACTCAAGAGAATCATCACTTCAGCTTATACCAAGAATATATTCATCACCGCTCTGAGACTTTTATCTACTTCTCTTTGGTCGCCTTTGGGTGGTATCTTGCATCCATCGGCCGACCTTCAAATACCAAGGGCCTAGCAAGCAAGACGCCAAGGACCGCCCCACCAAGCACATTACCTTTGCCAGCATTAAGACATATCATTTCCAAGCGGTCTCTTTAGTGTTTAGGATCTAAATTTTTGGTCATTTTCCCTATGCTCTTCTATCAAGTAACAGTCTTTCTTGAAATTGGCCTTAAATACTTTAACACCTTTTGCGCGCCCTGTTCTTAAATAAAGAGACAACAAGGCACTAACACCGTATAGACAGGTATCGCCCCAAGCCCCTTCTCACATCCACTTTGACATTTTCGTTCGATTCCGCTATGTCTACTAACCGATGTAGACAAAATAACTTGAATATCTTGGCATTATTTTCAACCTATTTCGCCATAGTCCTCTGTGATATAAATTTAAATCGCCAAGAAGGCTAGGCAATTGTGACCCATTGTACCATTGCCTTGATGAATGCGAGAGGAATGATCAATTTCCTTGGAGCTTGCCGAAGCACCAGGCTCAGTACCAAAAGAAGAGAGGAAAGTCCCTCCACATCCCAAGAATGGAGAACGACAAGGAAAGGGAAACGCCCATGAAGTAAAAGGAGCTGAGCATCCCAAAATAGGATGCTGGAAGCTCAAAAAGCGATAGCTGGTGATCGCGCTTTTGCCATAACCTTAGTGCATTCAGGCTGATGTAAGCATCCAACACCTATATCACGTTATGAACCCCAGTCCGATCAGGTTAAGTTGTGTGGGAGCCTTACTAAGCCCAGCAGATACAGCTACATTGGAATTAGGACACATCAACAGCTGACGGAGATAAAGAGTTCTCTCAGCAATACCCTGGATAACGACACCTTTTATCCTTTGACTGCCCTGCTCTGTCAAAGGGTAGTCTCAATATTCAGTCCCAATGAATTTAAAGGATGATTCATCCCCAAATCCGAAAACGGGTTTCAAAACAAGAAATCAAGAAGTGAGGCACCTCGTATAAAAAGGAATCCTTGATCTGAACCAGAGTCAAAGCGGACTTCACCTTCTGGCTACTAAATGAAGCTCCAAAGCGAATTAATTGTAGCGAGGTGATTGAACAAAAAAAACGCAATGTGAGGTTACCACTTAACCTCCAGGGTATGATTTACACTCCTAGGAATATGGTCATGTGTCCTTTAAAGCTACAATTCCACTATCTTGTCATTTTATGGCAGGCAGTATTAACAAAGCCTCTCTTTTTGTTCTTGTTGTCAATTAATACTTTAGTTTTTGAGGACGATGAGTGGTAATCTAATGGAGGAGTGTTACTGGATACTTAACGCCTGGTTCTTGTCCTTTATAATGATATGCAAAGAACCAGGTCTAGATCGTCAGACAATTGTTTATGAATTCAATCGAGTTCATATCGCAACAGATTGTTGCCACCAATTTCAAGTCGAAGGAGATGGCCTACATCAATTTGGGCCTATTCCCAACTACGATAGTGGGTTAAATGGGCATCATCGAGCCCATTCTCAACGCCCTCGTCTATGGCATCGTAGCCAGTTATGCCGGACCTAGTTATAGGGGTTGATGACCATGGTAATGGACTGATTGGTGGACAAGGATTATAACCTTAGATGGTGCTTCCTCTTGGTTTTTGGGATACAAGAGGAAGAAGAGCAAGTGGATCGGAGAAGGGGGGGGAAAGCCTCAGCCGCTTCTCAGACTCCTATTTGAAAACGGATCCACCTAGGCTCTTTTACCGCCCTGGTCGGGGTGGAACGTATGGGAAAAGCGCAGAGCCGTTATGCCCATGTCTTTGGGACCAGCCATATCCCCTTCCCAATCAAATGGTTGTAGCTGTTTTCTTACTAGCGTGATACTTTTCTTATCTCTACACCTGTAAGAGGTGCTTGTATACTCCTTGCTCCTTGCTCCTTGCTCCTTGCTTCTTACGACTTAATCCTTTACACTATTTTAAAAATAAAAAACTACGAAAGAAAAAATACATGACAGGTAGTCTGTTGATGAAACATAAAGGACCTTTGGCTTACCGAATCTTTCTTTTAGTCAAATAATTTTCAATAGCACAATTGGCAGTTTTGCAACATGTAGTATAAATAATACCCACGGAATAAACAAAAAAAGTTAGTCTCTGTGCGTCGTCCTGTCCTACGTGCTTTTAGTAGTTCATCAACAAAATTTTAAATGCGTAGTCGTACACCTGTTTTTTGTCATGTTTTGCTCAGTTGTATACATGTATACATGTATTATCCACTCACAGCTGTGCTCTTTGAGGCAGGTGAAGCGCAACGTCTGTATTATTCAAGATTGGGGCAAAGGTAAATACCAAAAAACAGATTGGAGCCCATGCAATGAAAAAAAATAAAGTACATGTTTATGTGTACTGTTTGGCGCAGACAACCGATTTAATTCTGCCAACCATTGGTCAAAGAGAAAACCGGTTAAGTCAAAGGAATAAGGGGTGCATTCTTTATTTACTTGCGTGGCAAAAGAGCCATCGTTACATGCAATCCAGAAGTTTAATAGAAAGGCCGAGGCACTTTGCTTGTTTTTTTTATTTTTATTTTTTTATTTCGCTTTTTCATTCAAATTCATTTGCATTTCATTTGGCATTCTTTTCTTTTTCTTTTTTTTTTGAGTATAAATATTTAACTACCAAAGATCAATTCAATCCTTAATTTAAATAATGACAGCAGCACAGGTCACCTTACAGCAGCAACAAAGCAGGAGGCCGGGCATCTTGATCGTTGGCGCTGGTCTAGGTGGATTGTTCCTCGGAATAATTCTGGAAGAACTCGGCCATCCATACCATATTTTTGAGCGTGCAACAGAAGTGCGTCCTTTAGGTGAGTGCACAATAGGCTTTTATAACATCATTTACGGTAAATTAAATCCTTTAATATCCTCAACACATCAAATATTTCGAAAGGATCAACAATGGCACTAGGTCCAGGTATATTACCAGTCTTTGAACAGCTTGACTTGCTAAAGGAGCTTGAAAAGTTTGCTTTACCATGCCATTCCGTCGAGATTCACAACGCAAACATGGATCTTTTCGGGTCCATCAAATTCATGGAACGAGAAAGGTATCATGCTATATCCAATGTCATGCCATTTTATATGAAATCCCCCCTTTTTTTTTGTTGTTATTCATCTCATTACTTTCGCTCATATATGTATGCTCTGTCGTATTTGGCCTTTTTTTTAAAAAACAAATCTAGATCCGGGTACCCAAACCTTCTGTTCGAGCGGCCTGATCTATATGACTTACTGCTCAGGCGAGTTCCCAAGGACAGGATAAGCATGGGCAAAAAAGTTCTTCGGACAGAGGAGGTCTCAGGACGGGTTTATATCCATTGTGCGGACAATACAACGTATGAAGGGGATATTCTTGTTGGAGCAGATGGAGCTTATAGTGGAGTTCGACAGAGTATTTACAGAGAATTGATGAAAAAGGGGATGTTACCCAAATCAGATCATGAGGACTTTTCAGTGGCGAATATATCAATGGTTGGGGTTGCTGAGAAACAGGATCCAAAAAAGTATCCACAGCTGAATGACAAACAAGCTAATTTCTCCACGACTCTAGGGCACATGAAAACAGTAAGGATCCAAAACAAAGTATTTTGCTCTTGGCATGTAACAACTACAAAAAAACTAAACATTCTTCATCTTTTTATAATGTGTTTTATTTCATCCATCCATACTATATACTACTTGAAAAATAAGCGCACGGTGATCAATATTCCAGACAATCGTATTTGTTGGACTATAAACATTCAGCTTTCAAAAGAAGAAGCCAAAGCACAACACTTCAGGAACTCGGAATGGGGACCAGAATCGAACGAGAAGATGATTAAGGAATTTGAGCAATTACCATGCCCCTGGGGCGGAACCATGGGAGAAATTATTCATGCAACCCCCAAACATTTGATCTCCAAAGTGTTTTTAGAAGAAAAATTCTTCAAGACATGGTATCACGGCCAAACCGTGCTCATCGGTGATGGTAAAAAACATGAAGAAAAAAAAAAAAAAAAGAAAATTTAACACTGCACTAAGATCATTAATGTTTTGAAACTAACATCCTAACCTTGTTTTTTCTTCTCGGACCCATCTGGGATGAATATATAAAAGCCTGTCACAAGGTAATAAAAGAGAGCATATCCAGATGAGTATCTTTTTTCCGGTCATCTATATTGACAGTCGATAATAATATTTGTTCCATATCCTCTTATAGATGCTTCCTGGTGCAGGTCTAGGTACAGTTCTGCTACTAAAAGAAATTGAACGTTCCAACCGCTTTTTGCGATATTTGTACTCACTTTTTTTTTTTTTCTTCTCCTGGTGGTCTCAGGTGCTGTGAATGCGATGCAAGATGCAGTGGTTCTTGCGAACTGTATCTCCAAGATGAGTGATGTATCCCCACAGAACATCACTGCAGCCTTTGGACAATACTATAAGCAACGGTATCGTCATGCTCTGTACTCGTTCACGATGAGCAGGTTTTGGACCAAAATGACTTATGGTCAGGTAAAGAGGAAGATGATATAATTGTAATTGACATTAACATTTTTGAGTCTATACAATTGACCCGCTTTATTTTTATTTTTATTTTTTATTTTCTTCATGTGTCCTTCGTTCATGTGCTTGTTGATCAAGACATGGAGCGAGAGACTTCTTCGGCAGCAGGTGGTCAACTTTACACCAGAATGGGTGTATTTCATGCTCTATTTTAAAACAGCATCCTATCGGCCACAAATTGCATGGCTTCCACTTGCAGAGAACCGAGGCACAGTCCGGATACTTCCACAAGATGACATTGGCAGTGAAACAAAAGCTGATATGAGTAAGAGTAGGTTCAAGATTAAGAGTAAGAGTAAGAACAAGAGTAGAAATAAGGAACAAGATCAAGGGTATATTTGTGAGCAGGTAGAGAAAGAGAAGACCAAGCAAACAATGGAGTCCAAGAAAGTTGATGATCACTTATTAATTGTATAATAAAGAGTAAAGCTAAACGCGATCGAATTGACTCTAGACTTTTCTTTGTGCACACCTCCTGTCGCCTCCTTGCTTGTCTCTCTCCAGCAAAAGGGAGCCGTGCGCTAATTTTTTGATTGCTTCCCAAAAATAAAATACACGTCGTGTGGCACACAGCACAGCCCATTTTTACCCACATAACGACACGGCACACGGTTTTTTCTTTTTCCTCTTTTTCTCAATTCTTCTTTCAATTCCATCTTTCAATTCACTCAATCCCGACATGTCACATAATCAAGGATACGGTGGATATCAACAGCAACAGCCATATGGTCAACAACCATATGGCCAACAGCAACAACAGTATCAACCACATGGACAGCAGCAACAGCCATACGGACAGCAACAACAGCATTATGGCCACCAGCACCAGCAGCAATACGGGCAATCGCCTTATGTTCAAAACCAAACACCCCACAACCAATACAGCAATCAGTACCAACAGGCTGTCAACTATCAGCAACAAATGTGTAAGTTCTATTAACCTTATTTCAATTCCTAACATGATTGTGAATGAAGAAGACGAATGTCGACATACAGTAAGCATTGCTGACGCTTATTGTGAATGAAGTTTGGCAACATTGTGAGGGAATGAAGTTTTTTTTTTTTTTTTTTTTCTTTTTCTTTTTCTTTTTCTTTACATGGGTGTATGACTAATACAATCATTCTTGTTTTGTTCTCTTTTTCTTTGTTCTTTGTCATTTCGCGTCTCATATATCTCTTGGCAACAACAGCCATGCAGCCCAGTCCTGAAGCAAGTCTGCGCCAATGGTTCGATGCAGTTGATGCAGACAGATCTGGCCAATTGAGCACTGACGAGCTTCAGAAGGCGTTGATCAATGGTAAGGATGTAATATCTTTTTTTTTTTTTTTTTTTTTTTTTTATTACGACAAGTGCGCTTGCCATTGATAGCTTTGACGTATTGTAGAGAAAAAAAGATCTATCTTTAACAATATCATTTTTACTTCTATATTGACTTAGGTGATTGGTAATATTTTTTTTTTTTTTTTTTTTTGGGGTTATTTGTGCCTGACCCGCTGACCAATATTTTCTTTGGAACAACAGGAGTCCCTTCAATTACGAGACTGTCCGTCTGATGATGAATATGTTTGATACAGGTAAGCTAACTCAGCCTTTTTTTTCTTTTTTTCTTTATAATTTCGGACTGCTTGGAGTGGGAAAAATATATAAAGCAATCTACCCCTTTTTTTCTGACGGACTTCCTTTATTACTTTATTATTTTATGTTAGATAACTCTGGTCAAATCAATTTTGCAGAATTCTCAGGATTGTGGAAGTACATTGAAGAGTGGCGCGCGTGCTTTGTAGCCTTTGATCAAGATAAGAGTGGATCCATTGACTTTAATGAACTCAAAACTGCTATGCGTTCGTTTGGTTACAACCTCACCGATGACTTTTTGAAACTCTTGATTAAGAAATACGACAGAAAAGGTAAAAAGCATACAAAAAAAAGAGAGTGACGTGGGAGTGGTCTGAATATGAAATAGTATAGTAATCAATGTATGCTTAACTCTATAATGATTATAGGTCGCGGCAATGTCTCTTTCGACAATTTTGTCCAAATTGCAGTTACAGTCAAGAGTTTAACGGATGCGTTCATGAGGATTGATCGTGAGGGCAAGGGTTATGCCACCATTGGTTATGAGCAGGTAACGAGGAAAAAATAAAAGATATGTTTGTTTTTGCAAAAGGGCCAATGACTGTGAGACTAACGCATGATTAATACTTCATGAATTCCTTACTATCTCAATATGGATATTTATAGTTCTTGGAGCTCGTTGTAAGCAACAGGTAGATTACTATATACCAGGAAGCGTGGAGAAACATAAGCAATTTTGATATGCAAACATGAAATAAAAATATATATTGAAACAGAGATTTTTTTCATTCTGTAAGCCAAGCAATGTTTTGTTGATTATTGATAAACGAGTTGGCACAACTGTTTGCGTTGGCTGTCCCTTGCAGGCAGAGGATGAGAATATTGATTTGTAGGAGGAAGAAATGCCTTCCCCTTGGTGAATTAACCGTTGCCGAATCTATTGAAGATTTCATTTCCTGTCATCGTTATTTTATCTACCTTGAACGGAATGATTATGCTTTTTTATGTTGCTACAATTACAGTCAAGTGGTTCTTTGAACATGGCAAAGGGACAGTGCTTCCTGAGAACCACTCACAAAAGAGGACAACTGAGACAGCATGTGTGGGTCAGTGCATATGAAGTTGAGCATGACAAGTTAGTCTTCCTTCCTCGTCTTCGCTTCCTTTTCCTTTATTTTCTCTTCTCCTCTTACTACTTCTTAGTTTGTTCATCTATCAATACATGTAAGTGCATAGACTTGAACACATATAAGAAACTTTATCGTCAACACGCTTTACTAAGTGTAGTCATTTTAAAAAACAAAACTTTCTCGTCTCTCGGAAAGTGAATAGAGGGTATTGTACATGTACATGCACAATCATGCTTGGCAATGTGTATACCCAACCGCGAAGCGTGCTCTTGCCAGCAAGGGCTTTAAAGCTCTTCGAAATATACATGGAGTACACTCGTAGGATATACCACGACCAGAGCTACAAGTACGACTGCGATCATGATTATGACATCGTCATGGAGCTATGTCTTGATGCAGGCTCTGCACTTTCTCGCATTCAGCGGTCTATGAGGAAATCTTTAGCCTCTTCAACTTCAGACAAAGATATGATGCTGCGCCAAAGAGTTGGTTCAGCCTACTATGAACTTGCTCGCTTACATGAACATCTGGGTCATTCAAATGATACTCAAAGATTTGACAAGGAAGCCAGAAAATGGGGATACATCCATGGAGGCAATACTGTCTGTCAAGCACCGTACTTTGCCCACTTTACTGGCTGCAGCAAACAAGGAAGCGATGGTGATAACAACAGCAAAGGTAGAAGAGTGACCAGGGTAGTAGAAGCTATCAAGCGGCACCGTATAGCAACTGTTCCAAAAGATATTTTTGATCATGATGTAGCTCCAATGACTATCAGTTGCAGCTTGCTGGGTGCCGATGAATATTTGGATGATACAAAGCAGCTTGTATATTGTCTTAGTCTGCTTTCCACTTCATCTACCTCAACGGCAGGCCTCACAGCCCAAGAACAACAGTGGTGCCAGGTAACCCTGACAGACCAAGATGAGCAGGAGCGGTTGCGTACTTTGGTATCGGACGTGGTTACAATGTTTATTAGCGATGAAATCAAGACTGAAGCTACAGTCACTGAGGTTGTGTCCCTTGCTCCAGTCCTCACCTTGGATCAGTTTAAGGCATTAGTAATGACCTTGGTCAATGGAGTCAGCCAAAATATCATATTAGATACTCATTTGCTGGAAGGGTTGGTTCAGTTGATGCAGTACGCTCCGCTTGGGTACCTTGACTCGGATGATCTTGTTACAATCCTCAAGGCCCTCAGTTTCCGCCTACAAGGGGTACATAATCAATCCAGTATCCACCTCTATCGCCTTTCTATTACCATCTCACATATCCTTGATGCCATGGTCAGCAGTCAAGTCAAGGGCTTGAAACGAGAACAGCTCCATGAACCACTAGCAGCGTATCTAAAGAGGCTGGAGACTAACCCTGAGCCATACTTGGTGTACCAAGCAGCCTATGCTTTCCAAGCTTTACTGAATATTCCAAACGACGAAACCAAAGTACATGTATTGCTGAGGCGTGCATCAGCAGTGATGCGAGGAGCATTTGGAATTGTGAGCACAGTCAAGAACCTGGATATCAATGCCTTTATGGATGAACTGAACCACATCCAGAAGGAACTTCCGTCTGTAACAGATGTTATTGATACTAGTCTGCGAGTATACGATGGTTTAATTTCACTACATGAGAGCGGAGCAAATTTCAGACAGGGTATGGAAGAAGGCCTTAACTTTAGCCACAAGGCTGCGTGGTACCCAGCATTACGCGGAGTTGATGCGTTACTCCAGACAGGAGAATTGACCAAGCTCAAGACCTTTGTATGTGAGGTGGCTTGTTGTCGAGACCCAGCATTTCAATGGGGACTATGTGAGCGTTTGGGACAGGTTGCAGCCAATGGACAGTGGCCAATGGATATCCGCCAAAGCGCAGTCACCTTTCTGGGTGAGATTTATAAGAATGACGTAGAGTGGGGTAGCTATATTCATATCAAGCAGTGGATCGTCAGCATCCTTAGAGAACTTACTGCACACCCAAGGTGTAATTTGCAAGGTCTCTATATATATCTCTATTTCTTTCTATTGTGGGGAGTTTAAGCCTTGACAACTATCGGCATATGATGATTAATCGCAATATCTTTTTTTTTTTTCTTTTCTTTTCTTTCAGCCGCAAATTCGATCTTGAATGAGCTTCAGGAGGAAGGAGATACCAAAAAGCAGGAGCTTTACAGGGATTGTTTTCAAGGGCCAGTACCTCCATACCCCTACATTATTGCACCCTCTCCACCCACAACTTCATCATTGCTAGACCGCGTACAGAAGAAGATCGATGTTGAAAAAGGTTTGCGCCTACTTAAGCGACGTCAGGTAAAGAGCAGAGGTACCCAAAGCTTCTACATTCAACAATATGCTAAAGCAAATCCCTATGCGGCTGATGACGGTTTATTCCTGCTGATGGATAAGGCAATGGAGTTCTTGAAGAGCGACCAGAAGGTGTTACTCGTCCAAGGTGATTCTGGTTCAGGGAAATCGACATTTGTTCGCACGCTAGAGCACAACTTGTGGGAAATATACCAGAAGAAGCATGGTCAGATCCCATTGTATATCAATTTACCTACCATTGACAACCCGAAACAAGACCTAGTCGCCAAACAGCTACGAAGATATGATTTCACAGAGGCACAGATAAAAGAGTTGAAGGTGACGCGCAGATTTATTTTAATATGTGATGGGTACGATGAATGCAAACAGGTCAGCAACCTGTATGTCGCAAACCGACTAAATCAGCCTGGAGAGTGGATGGCTCAGATGGTGATCAGCTGCCGCGGTGAGTACCTTGGATCAGATTATCGGGATCGTTTCCAGCCCATGGGCCGCAATACTCAAGCTAAAACAGCCTTATTTCAAGAGGCTATGATAGTACCATTCTCTGAGCCCCAGATCAACGACTACATCATACAATATATCGCAGTCATGGATCCACTGTGGCATGTGGAGGATTACCAGCGTGCACTCAAGGCGGTACCTAGCCTAGAAGACCTTGTTAAGAACCCGTTCTTACTATCGATGTCACTAGAGGTACTCCCACGGGTAGTAGACCCAAACCAAGACACCTCCAAGGCAAAGATCAAGCGTATTTCATTGTACGATCAATTCGTAGAGTTGTGGCTAGAGCGGGGCAAGAAGCGGCTAGATGAGACATTAAGGTCAGAAGACAAAAGGATGTTCCAGATACTGAATGATGAAGGATTTGCACAGAATGGAATCAGATACATGACGGACCTGGCCACAGCGATCTATAAGCACCAAGATGGCAATTCAGTAGTGGAATATTCTTCGTTTAAACACAAGGGTACATGGAAAGATGAATATTTTAGCAGAGAGAGTGAAAGATATCTTCTACGCGAGGCTTCTCCATTGAACCGTACAGGCAACCAATATCGATTCATCCATCGCTCTATTTTGGAATATAGTGTAGCTCGGGCGGTCTTTGAACCGCAGGTAACGACGAGTGTTTTTGCAAGTGGAGAGACAGCAGAGGACTCTACCTTACGTCGACAGAGTCTAAGCTCGACATACAGCTTCAAAATCGGTGAGAGTGATGTGATTGGGAGGGAGGCTGACCTAATCAAGCCTGATGAAGGCTCTCCTTTAGTGTGGAGAAGTTTTGTAAGCGAGCCATCCATCTTGGATTTCCTAGTAGATCGCGTTCGACTAGAGCCAGTGTTTAGACAGCAGCTATATGGCTGTGTGGAGCTCTCAAAGAGCGACGGCAAGTGGCGGATAGCAGCAGCCAATGCAATGACGGTCTTAGTTCGAGCAGGCGAGTCGTTTGCTGGAACGAACTTGCGAGGCATTCAGATCCCAGGCGCGAACCTTAGTCATGGTATTTTCGAATATGCTCAGCTACAAGCAGCGGATCTGAGGAAGGTCAACTTTCAAAACTGTTGGCTTCGTGAAGCAAATATGAGTGATGCAAATATGGCAGACGCTCAGTTTGGTGAATGGCCACTTCTTCGTGTAAATGGTGGTGCCTGGAGGGGATCGTTTTCTCCTGATGGCAAGACGCTCGCTGCAGCTGTCCGCAACGAAAATATTGGCGACTGTTCAATCAGCGTATATGACACACTGACGTGGGAGAAGCGTCTGACTATGAGTGGCATTGATTGGAGTAGTATACCAACATACTCACCAGACAGCCGCCACATTACATTTTCAAACTACCTTAATGTGGTTATAATATGGGATGTAGCCTCAGGTGCGCTGGCTCGCTGTTTGGAGGGCCATAAAGATACTGTCAACCATATAGCCTACTCGCCAAGTGGGGAACATCTTGCCTCTGCCAGCAGTGACGGCTCCGTACGTGTGTGGCATGCTCAGTCTGGCATACTCCAATATATATTAAAAAGCCATACTGGTGTCGGAGAGAACGTGGCGTACTCACCTGATGGAAATCAGATTGCAACTGGAGACAAAGACAAGACAATACGGCTGTGGGATGCGGCATCGGGGCACCAGCAACTGGAGCTAGAGGGCCATGAGAACGAGACCAGGCAGATTGTATATTCGCCCAACGGCCAGGAAATCGTCTCCTGTTGTTGTGGCGGCACTACACTGTATGTGTGGGATACAAAGTCTGGCCAAATGAAATGGGCCTTAAGGCACGATGGCTTTGTTAGAGGCGCTCGATTTTCGCCTAGCGGGAAATTTGCCGCTTCATTTGCCGGTGAAAAGGCATATCAGTGGGATATGCAAACAGGGAAAGTCAGCCATATCCTAAAAGGACATTCCAGAGTAATCTACGGCCTAAAGTATGCGCCAAATGGAGATCAGATCGCCACTTGCGGCTATGATGCCATAATACGGCTTTGGGACGCACAATCAGGACAGCTCATTAATGCCTTCCATGGCCACTCCGAGATTGTAAACGATGTGACATATTCATCCAAAACCTATCAGATTGCATCGTTCAGCAATGACGGAACAATACGCCTTTGGGGCACCAGATTTCGGCAGTGTAACTATGACTCACATAGCCATACGTCACCGATCAGCCACATCAGATGTTCACCAGATGGACAGCAGACGGCCTCATGTAGCCGGAACGGTAGAGTGGATATATGGGATAGCCGAACAGGACAACCTATTCATACTTTATATAGTCAAAACGAGCCAGTAGTAGACATGAAGTATTCATATGATGGTCGATTGCTTGCCTATTGTCACTGTGCTTCACGCGTTTATCTTTGGGATACTCAAACAGGCCAACATCCTTACAACTTGGAGTTGCATGGCGATGGCGAACAAGAATACCGCATCTTTGCTATAGATCCTTCTCCCACTACCAATCAAATTACTTGTGGGCATAAAAACGGGAAAATAAGTATATGGGATATGCAAACAGGGGAGCTCGTCCGAATCCTTCATGGACATAAGAGCGAAGTGGAATGCGTAGTGTTCTCGCCTAATGGTCAGCAGGTCGCTTCGTGTGCTTGGGGATGTGGGCTCAAAGTCTGGACAGTGCACTCAGGGGATATCCTCTTTGAATTGAACGATGAAATATGCGATACTTCCTGTATAGTGTACTCACCTAACAACCAGAAAATAGCAACAATCCACCGCTACAAAAGCTTGAAAATATGGGACGCAGGGACGGGCGAGCTCTGCTCTGAAAAGAGGTTACAGGATATCCAAGGCCCGGTTGCATTTTCACCATGGGGCCAACAGCTGACCGTCGGGAGCTTTCATGGGCCATTAAGTGTATTGGATGTCGAATCAGGAGCATTGCTTCATACGCTTGAAGGGCATATTGGGTGGATCGCAGTTATATCGTATTCTCCTGATGGCCATTACATTGCTTCAGGGAATAAAGACATGACAGTGCGATTATGGGAATCTCGATCATTCAACTGCGTGATTGCAATTCCGCATCCAGGTGGATATGTTCAGGCTCTCAGTTGGAATGTCTCTAAGGAAGGCTGCTTCCTGATAACTGGGTGCGATGATGGTTCTATCCGAATGTGGCAAATCATCAAAGAAAACGACCTGTATCAATACCGTTTGAAGTGGAGCACAGGACAGACTGTTTTATATGCTGGTAATACATGTATCCAAGATGTGGTGGGGCTGAGTGAAGTCAATAGGACGCTCTTGATAGAGCGTGGAGCTATAAGGCATCAAGCGATCCAAAAAACGAATAATGTAGCCAATGCAGTAACACTTGTGGCATCTGAGATGGTAATATCTCCTAACACGACCAAGAGCAAAGCCTTGGCTAAAAGCTTAAAAAGCGATAACTCCAGAGGAAGAGTGCTGATCGCTAAAGCCGAGCCTATTAATGGGCATCGGTTCATTTGCAGTGTGTGTAGTAAATGCAATGATTGTAATGTTGCGCATTTTATCTTAAGAGGCACCTGTGGTGACAATTGTCAGCATCAAAAAGAAGTAAATAGATATGTAGGTGTGGTCTATGGTATTATTTTATCCATTTTATTTTATTTTTTTAATAAAGTCACTGACGTGTAGTCTCGTCCGACCATCCAGGCGTTATAAAAACCAGTTTTGTGGGCCAAACATGGGGCCGGGTGACTAAGGTGCATTTTGGGAAAGAGGTGCACTGTTTTCTTAAGAGTATAAACATGACTTCTGATTAGTATTGTTGGTTTTAGTTTTAGTCACGTGTAGAGGGTTCGCCACCAACTATTTAACGAGCAACAGCTCAGGAAAATCTGGCTCCTTGTTCCTTATTTTTACACAAGAGCCATTTGAGTACTGACTGTTCTCGTCCAGTCTTTGAGTAGTGTGTGTGTTCTTTTATTGTGTTAGAATTATTTATCTATCTGCAGCTGGAAGTGACCGGCTTCATAATCCACCAAAACGACCTAAATCTCCTACCACATCTGCCCCTAAATTTTGCAACAGTATCAGAATAGGTGACTCTTTATGTTGAATATATGGGCGAGATTGATGCGTTTACCTTCAGTGCCGACATGGTCAATGAAGGGGGGAAAAAAATGTGTCCGTTCCATTTGCACTTGCAACTGCACTTTCACGTGAGGATCCCTTTGAAAGATAACAATCAAATGATGAGGAGGATTTAAACATACATGTATACATCTTGGTGCATTAGTATCTATAATGGAGCGCATGCAATGCCCAAAGCCATACGCATGCTGTTGTTTACATCTTTCCCATTAAATCCAACTCTCGCAAAGACTTGAAGGCATGTGGTACAAAATCCTCAGAAAGAAATTGAAAAGCACGGAATCAGAGTCCAATTTCGCACAGCAGTTTGTGTGACATGAAAAAAACTATATACATATAAATATACATTTCAACAGTAGATTTTGCAAAGAGTCCTCGCCAAAAAGTCGTCGACTAATATATTTTTCATATTTTTAAATTGAATAAAATACCCTCCCTTTTTAGACGAAAAAAAAAAAACGTTACAAACTCAAAATTTTAATTTTTACGAGAGCGTTTTCGATTGATAAGAGGCTCGTCCTCAGACTCGCTATCCTCTACTAAACCAAACATGTTTCCAGTATCTGGTGCAAGGTCCTCGGTCCCAGATTCCATTATTACAGCCTCAGCTTGCTCTTGGTTTACTACTCTGTCGAGTTCTAGGTCCCACTCACTGCTGTCGAGTCTAATCTCCTCGCTAATGTCCTCAATTGTCTCCTGTTCATCATTGATCTCTTGGTAATGCCTCTCGTCCGCCTCATCCAGCATTCCTTGGACACGTCTTCTCTCGTTATAGTATTTCATACCAATTTTCACAGACTTTTTCCATACAGAATAAAATATTCTATCCGGAATCTGAGAAAACAAGCTGAGAAGCCTTTTCTTCAGCAAAAGGGCTGTCATTGTCGTCCTTGCTCTCGACGCAATAATGTTTTTAACGACGGCCCAAATTTTCTCAATAGGCTGAAGTTCGCAGTGATATGGTGGAGTCTTGAGAATTTCATGGCCACCATTCTCTTGGGCGATTTTACTGATAGAGAAATACGACTCGTCAGGAAGGGCTTTGATCAACTCCATAAGATCGTCTTTATTCGCCGCTTTTCCATTTTCCTTGGTTGGAATAGCAATACCCTTGCTGGTGAGCCACTCTTTGATAGTTGCCACAGTGTCGCTCTTGGGTGGTACTTTGTTTTTCTTATGGAAATGATATTAAGCACCATCAAGATGGATTTGACAAGGCCCCAGTCCCATCTCATTGAGGTTCTCACAAAGTCGCTTAAAAATACTATCAAATAAATTGGCGTTGAAATTTCCATGATAGTCGTGACCTGTTGCTACAACTCCTGCACTCTTGATCTCTTCGGGCACATCGTTCCACAACTCTGCCTCCTGTTCTTGGCCCTTCTTTGACTGAGGCTTTGGCCCTTTGGATGGCCAGACATATACACTATCCTTCACGAATTTGCCCTCAACTTTTTTGTTGAGTTCATCGTAATGCACAACGAATGCCGCAAAGATAACTACTATTGGCTTTCTTCCCGCATCGTTTACGACACCACCACTACTTTTCACCCAACGTCTTGCTGCAGCATGATCGATGTGACAGTAAGACTCGTCTAAAAAAACTTCTGGCATTTTAGGAACCCAATTGCCGTCCACAAGTTTTAGATTACTGAGGCGACGCTTGAGGTATGTTGTTCGGAACGCGACATTTTCCTTGGAGTCATGCAAGAAATGTTGTCGGTTTCCTTTACCCCAATATAAACCCATTTTGCGAAGATCACGAGTAATTGACCTTGCTGATCTATCGATCCCAAAGTCATCCTTTAGTTGGTTGGCAACCATAGAGGGGCTCCGCACTTGTTTGAATCTACTATGACAGCCATGATTTTTGAGGTTACATCCTGATCAATTTCTTTTTTTGGGCGTCCAGTTCTTCCACGTCTGGTTCTCTCATGTCCAGCTTTACCGCGGTCTTTGAACTCGAGTACACCTGTGGTAGCAAATTTAATTACTGTCAAACATGCATCTCTCCCTACACCCATTAAAATCGCCAAGTTGTTCGCTCTGTCTGGCGTCTGCATAAACTACTGTCGAACTTCTAATGGCCCCTCGGTAATAGCCTTGAATGTCCGAGCCATCATAACGTATTCGTTATGTGTAATGCTCGCCTTATTACGGGATAATTCACCAATGTCCTGCTGGAGCTCTACAGCTTGTCCATTTGACAAGAATGGATTTGGATCAGCAGCATCGGGAAGCTGCTCTTTTGAAGGAGATCCCTTGGATCTGTTCTTAGATGGGGTATTCCAATGATATTGTGTGGGAGATCTAGTGCAGGTGACATTGAATTTGGAGGGCGATTGTCGACATCTTCGGGGTGGAGTTGTGCGTGTTCCTAGAAACGTTGGATCGGTATCACCTAGATCATTATACATATCACTCAGATCATTATATGACGGGTGACTATCGTTATCAATAGGGAAAGACATTTGACTATTTCTTGGAGAATGAGTGAATGTGAATGAGGATAATGAAGGTCTGCTTCGTCGGTCAGTTTCAGATTCATAAAGAAACAACGGTTTCCAATACAGTCAAGTTTATTCAAAAAATTATATGAAAATGGATGAGGGAAGTCTTTAATTCAAATTGAGTATTTTAAAAATATATTAGTCGACGACTTTTTGGCGAGGACTCTATGCGAACAATTATACTACTACGACATTTTCATTATCATCTTTTCGCTTGCATTCCTGGGGGAGCATGACCACAGAGCCGCGAGCAGGGGTAAGTGGAAGCCATGCAATTTGAGGACAGTATGCAAACACTTTTGCATCCATCCATTTATATACCCAGTATGGGACGTAGTTCATCATCACCTGGCGTAACAACCGCTCCTTCCATGTCTAGCAGCAGATAGAACGAGCCCATGTTTGCATACCAAGCAAATAATTAGTATCAAAGGGTGGCGTCTTAATGTACCAAGATATACACCAAAGTGTTTGTTTTACATACCTGGCCATAGGAGATTTTGGACCATGTAGAGCTTCTCTGGAATGCATCTAGTGCGCGAGAGTAACGCTGACGATAATATTCCTGAAAGGCGGTTGTAATGCTTTTAGAGCTGTTATCTTCCATGTTATAGATACAGTTGGCAAGCACAACCGCATCATGCATCGCATTCACTGCGCCTGTAGTACCATGAAGGAAATGTTAATGAGCACCTTATTCATAAAACGGAACGAACATAAACAAGCAATGAAACACATTCTTTTTTCTTCTTTTAACATGCCTAAGCCAGCTCCTGGAAGCATCTACAAACGATCAAAGCATAAAAAAAAAAAAAAAAAAAAAAAAAAAGAAAGATTAGAAGACAAGATATGATATCGTCACTAATAAAGCACCAATAATTTTCAAAAAGTGGTCCCACCTTGTGGCACGCTAGTCGCGAGGAGCAGAAGAAAGCATGTTTATAAATACGAGAATACAGTCAGTACAACACATCGTTTACTTGCATAAAAAAGTAACGCTCGATTTTTTTTTTTTTTTTTTACCATCGCCAAGGAGAACAGTTCGACCATGGAACCAGGTTTGGAAAACTTTTTCCTCCAGAAAGGCCTTCGAGATTAAGTTCCTGGGTGTTGCTTGGATCATATCACCCATAGTACCTCCCCATGGACAAGGAATGTCCGCGAACTCATTAATCATGCTATCGATCGATTCAGGGCCCCATTCTGAGCTTCGAAACAGTTGACTCTTGGCCTCAGCTTCTGTAAGCTGTTGGTACAAATACCAGCATACACGTTGACCAGGAACATTCACTACGCCGCACTAATATGTATTCACGATAAGGAAAATAATGAGTGTCATTCATCTTCCCTACAGCTTGCGACATTTTTTGCATGTCTTTTGGAAGGATACATACCACTCCCTTGCCTCCAAATATCGACGAGAAATGAGAAAACTCGTCCTTGAGTTGAGGATACTTCTCAGGATCCTTTGGCTCTGCTACTCCTACCATACAGAGGTTGGTAACCGAAAAGTTCTCTGAGTCAGCTTTTGGAAGACCAATGCCTTGCTCCTCCAGACGCTTATATAGGCTTTGACGGACACCACTATAAGCACCGTCAGCACCCACGAGGATATCGCCTTCCCATGCAGTCCCGTCTGCACAATGTATTAACACTTTTTCATCTATTTCCTCTGTCTGAAGCACCCGCTTGCCAAGGCTGATTTTGTATTCTGGCACTTGTTTCCGTAAGAGCTCATGTAATTGTGGACGACAGAAAATAATATCACTGTATCCTGTAAATCTTTTTTATTTTCACCATCGAATCGTACCATAGCAATTAAAAGAGGGGAAAAAGTAGATTCGAGTTAATGGATCGTTTTACGCTTGCAATAAAAAAAAAAAAAAAAAAAAAAAACGTGCTACGTATTATTACTTCTTTCGATCATCCAGTTTGATGGAGCTAAAGAGTTCTCGGTCGAGTGTGTAAAAGTCATGTGAGTAACATGGGTATGAAATCTTTTCAAGCTCATCCAACAACCCAAGCTGTTCAAAGACTGGTAACACTGTTGCCGATAATGTCATTGCGGATCCTAATGACAATGTTAACAGTAAAGGAAAAAAGCATTGTGGTAATGAGAATCCACAATATTATAAATTTTTATAGAAAACTACTGTATTTATTTTACCAGCTTTTTACCCAATGATCTCAATTCGGTAGCCCGTTCGAAAATATGGTATGGATACCCGAGTCTTTCCAAGAGTGTACCGAGCAGTAGACCTCCGATACCAGCGCCGACAATTATCACTCCTGGGATACGTTCTGATGAAGTGGTAGTAATTGTAGGTTCAGACATGATGGTGATGTTAAGGAAGAGGAGAATTAGGATAGTAGTGAAATAGATAGGCAATAAAGAAGAGGCTACAGTAAGTAGATTAAAAAAAAAAAAAAAAAAATAAAAAAAAAAAAAAAGGAAGAGAAGAAGAAGAGAAGAAGGAAGCAAGATTGAAGATAAGAAAGAAAAAGAAGGAAGGAAAGAAGTTTATGTCAACCACATTTGCTAATGAGGGCCATTGATCCGCCTGTCTCTACTCTTCCAAAGAATGCATACCCACAACTGAACATGAGGATACAAAAAAAAGAAGCCCAATTTTGCACAGCAGTTTGTGTAACGGATAAAAACCATGCATATGTGAGCCATTCTCTTCGGTTAATTTTTATTTTTTAAAATTACACGACTACGGCATTTTCATTATCATCTTTTCGCTTGCATTCCTGGGGGAGCATGACCACAGAGCCGCGAGCAGGGGTAAGTGGAAGCCATGCAATTTGAGGACAGTATGCAAACACTTTTGCATCCATCCATTTATATACCCAGTATGGGACGTAGTTCATCATCACCTGGCGTAACAACCGCTCCTTCCATGTCTAGCAGCAGATAGAACGAGCCCATGTTTGCATACCAAGCAAATAATTAGTATCAAAGGGTGGCGTCTTAATGTACCAAGATATACACCAAAGTGTTTGTTTTACATACCTGGCCATAGGAGATTTTGGACCATGTAGAGCTTCTCTGGAATGCATCTAGTGCGCGAGAGTAACGCTGACGATAATATTCCTGAAAGGCGGTTGTAATGCTTTTAGAGCTGTTATCTTCCATGTTATAGATACAGTTGGCAAGCACAACCGCATCATGCATCGCATTCACTGCGCCTGTAGTACCATGAAGGAAATGTTAATAAAGCACCTAAATGAGCGATGAAATGCGATCTTTTATTTCAACATGCCTAGACCAGCTCCCAGAAGCATCTATAAGATATAGAAAAAAAATAAAAAATAAAAAATAAAAAATAAAAAAAAAAGCTGATCAGAGGATGAGCAATATGCTTTTTTCAGATAAAAATAAAAATATATGTATGAATCCTCACCTTGTGGCACGCTGTTCGCTCAATGTCGGGTGGGAAAGGATAATATACATGAGTGTAACGACTCGTTAAATCTAAATTTTAGTCTACCACTTCTGCTCTTCCAAAAAGTAAGCATGTGTAAAACGCAATTACAAATAAGCATGATGCTGCCAATTTGATCCAATGAGATAAAATTCAGCATTCCCTCTGTTGTCAGTATTTTAAAATGATTAAAAAGTGAGTTGGCAGAGAGAGGAGAGACGTGGCAAAAAAGGATGAATTGTTACAGTTCAAAGGCGTACATGTGGACATAGTAGTGTATGTTAGTTTTTATGATAAGAATATAAAAAATGTAAGAATGCTACAAAAATATTCCTTGTGCCCTGGCCATTTTCTCATCTAAATCGTCCCTGTTCTCATTTGTTTATAGGGCGGATCTTTGTGCAGGCGATTTTCGAACACTCGCTTTTAGGCACATAAGTAGCGCCCCGCGATTCCCAACGAGTGAATGCCAGGGGGACTAAGAGCAAAGAGCAAAGTTTTTGGAGTGTGCCCGAAGGAACAGCTCCAGTTGAAAAAAAAAGGTATGCGAACCATTAAAAGGACTGAATGCTCCATTGATTTTGTGGAACGTAGTGATTTAGAATCAAAGCGTCGTGTGAAATTCTTTATTGCCAACCACCCAATGAAATAGAAGTATGCAGTGTCCATGACGCTTGGCGTTTGGTTCTTGGCGCTTGGCAGTTATTTATTTCACTTCTCATTCATATTTGCTATTCACTTTTTACATTTAGTACATTCCACATGCAATTCCTAGAAGAACAATGTACTTTACGCAAGGCAGACATGCCGGCTTCAACACGCATTGTCAAAATACCAGAGCTTATGTTTCTGATAGCGTCGTTTCTGGAAGAAGACAGTGCATATCAAAGCATTGCCTCGTGTCTTTTAGTTTCAAAGCAGTTCCATGTTATTTTTGAACCTTTCCTTTATAAAACCATCGATCTACGACGTATCCGTCCACCTCAACCTATCGATTGTGTTGTTCTTCCTGGGGAAAGTCAGCCGCGATTGCCATTCCAAGAGACCCTTTATCACAAAGGTCATCTTGTCCGCTCTGTTCATGCAGAGTTCCTTCAAACCGTGGTCGATTCCCCATCTTCCACGCCTTACTATACCGGCCTTCAACTTCATTTTTCCCACCTCTCTACTTACCTTCTTCCTTATTGCTATGAGCTCGAGTCTCTTCATATCTATCAACATGGCAGTTCGGTCCCATATTTTCAACAGGAATATTGGGATCATCTCATCACTTTAATCCAGCAAAATCGTCGAACCTTGAAAAGCCTGACGATTGAAATGAACATTCGCATGATCTTTCCGACAGCAGTATGGGAAGCCATCAGCGATTTACAAGACCTCGTACACTTGTCAGTCTCTGGTGTTACCATTAATGGCTTTCTCGAGCAATGCGACAAAAACCATGGCGGCAGTAACACCAGCAACAGCCCGTTATCGGTTCCACCTAACTTGGAGGCATTTCTGGATGCTTGTGAAAGAGCTGAATCCTTGTTGCTCGAAAATTTCTCAATCACTACCCTCCCAGTTACGCAAGCTTACCTTCAAGATCCTAATTCGCGTTGGCAAGCTTTTGGAAAAAGGAGGAGGAAGAGCAAACCGTTCAAGAACTTGATAACGCTAGACGATTTTCCATCTACAGTTCCATTGTCAGATCGAACAAATCTTTTAAGCAAATTAAATTCCTCTTGCTCCTCTTCTTCTTCACTCTCTACTTCACCTTCTTCTTGTCATATCGACTCTGAATGGGAGCCAGAAATTGCTTTGGCCCGTGCTAACGCAAAATGTCGTCTTGATCAGGAACACCAAATCCAGCGTCGTTATCGTGATCTGAAATCTTTAAGATATTTCGGTCGTTCTGCTGTCGAATTGACACTCTTTCGATATCTTCTAATCCAAGGCTCGAAATCTCTGACACACATTAGCTGGAACACCCGCTTCGCCGATTTTTATCTTCCAGCCCGTATCACTCTCTTTGTTGCTCGATGCCTCGTGGATGTAGCCACAGGCTGTATTGGTGAGAATAATAACAAGGACTGGGACTTGCCTGCAAGAGGTCCTAATGGCGAGGTAATCGACTTTGGATCCATTGCCATCACGGACCAACTCATGCCAGGCAACCTTATTAATAACAATACCGGCGCTATCAATGACAGTAATAACAGCAATAACAATAACAACTATGGCTTTACACCTCATCATGCCTACCATAAACGAGGTTTGACATCCTTGAGGAGTTTGGAGCTTTGGGATGGCTTTCCTTTCACAGATGACCAAATTGCTCACATCCTTGACTCACTAACCTGTCCTTTGAAAGAGCTGAAAGTTTCTGAATCTGGATTTGGAACATTGTCTCTGGATGCATTATTTCGACAGAAAGGAGCAGTAGAGAAGACCATAAGTGAATTAGGGAGCAAAAATAGAGACAAAGATCATAATAATACAGCAGACGGTAATGGCAATGACAACACCTGCGGATTAGATAATCGCTCCTCCATCACAGAAGCTACTTTTCCTGGAAATATTGGGGGTAGTAGCGATAGTACTGGAGATGGAGGTCCAGAGACAATTGGGCTGTCGTCTCAGTCGTTGCCAGCAACAGTAGCAGCAGCCGCAACTTGGAAACAACCAGGGTATTTCAGATTACCACATTCTTCAGCGTTGGAGAAACTAGATCTAACGAGCTGCCCAGATGTTACTGAAGAGATGGTTCAAGAGATCCGGATGCATTGCCCCAACTTGAAGGAGTTGATCCTCACAAGTCAAGACTAGAAAAAAGAATAATGTATAAATAGACATTAATTGGAACATCTTGTAAGCTGAAGAGGCTACTGAAACATTGTGCTTCGCTCCAAACCTGTGAAATAGAATTCACTGACAAATTAACAGCGGCGTGAGAGAATCAGCCAACCAAGTTTGGCAAAAAAGAGTGATCACGTTTTTTGATATTGACCTTTGTTCTATTCATTTTTCCACATCTGCTCCTTCCCCACAAAGAAAAAATAAAATAAACATGTCCCCTGTCAAAACACGTTCAACCTCATCAAAGCATCAAAAAGACCGTGGATACAAAGCCGATCCAGAAGACACTAATGACGACGATGACTTTTATGGGATGCGGGAACTGAAACATCAGTTGGCCGGACTCAATCTACAGCTCAAGGACACGATGGGCGATGGCAATTGTCTTTTTCGTGCATGTGCAGACCAGTTCTATGGAAATGAGCGAGACCATGCAGCCTTGAGAGCGGAAGTTTGTCAGTACATTGAAGATCATACAGACCATTTCAAGTCTTTTTTGGATAATGTGACTGTAGAGGCACATGTGGCCCACATGCGCAAGAACGGCACATATGGCGGCAATATCGAGTTAGTGGCGTTTGCCCGCATGAAAAGAGTCGACATCAAGGTTTATCAACCCGGATATATTTATGTCATTGAAGGTGTCGATGTCAAAAAGGAAGGATCTGGTCATGGACAACGACCAATCATGCATATTGCGTAAGTTGAGAAAATTGGAATATGACAATTATTTCAGGTTTTGAGCTTTTTACCGCCTTTTCATAGGATTTGCCTTGCATTTATTGTATTTAGAAACTCTTTTTTTTTTTTTTTTTTTTTTTTTTTTTCATCCTGTGGTCATATAGTTATCATAGCTGGGAGCATTATTCATCAATACGCAACATTGATGGACCACATGAAGGGCTCCCAGAAATTAATCCACGACCTATTAAGCAACAACCTCTAGCCAAATTGACTGACCAAGACCCACCACGGTCAATTGAGCGCGTGATCATGAAAGTCTCTGGCGTTCAGGATTTAGGGCTTGTGAGGGATCTTATGGAAAAATACCACGGTGATTTTGACAGTGTTGTCAATGACTTGGCAGAAAGGGCGTATGAGGAAGCAAACGAAGAATGCAACAAAAACATCATTATCGAGCCTGCAAATACGGATGCAGATGTTGAGGCTTCAAACGAAGAAACTGAAAGCAACGGAAAACCCATAGGCAATGTCCTAGAAGGAGAAGAGGAAGAGGAAGAGGAAGAGGAAGAGAAGAAAAAGAAAAAAGAAAGTTTACAGGAGAGCATTGAGGATAAAACGGACGCAAACACCAAGGACCATACTCTTACACGGGCCAAACTTGATGGAGATAGTGGGACGCGGTCTGTAGCTATGGGCACATCTTGGTCATCGAGTGACTTGACTGACAGCGATCCTTCAGTTTCAGTCACTGGCTCATCCAAGCCGTCTTCACGTGCAGCTACACCAACTTTATTAGCTACATCGTCAAGATCCAGGACAGCATCGCCTGTGCCACCGATAGCCTTGTCGGATGAGCCTGTGAAGGGAGTTGTGCCTAAGAAACGGATATCATCAAGAGAGAAGAAAGAATTAGCAAAACGAAATCAGAAATTGAACAAGAAGAATAGGGGAAAAGTAAGCTCTGCTAGTAGTAGCAATGAGAGTGACAAGAGCTCCACCCATAATACCTCGATTTTAACTACAACTAGAGGAGATGACAAAAGGATTAGCAGCAATATGCGGGAACTGTTTGTGTAATACAAATTAGTTTTTTTTATTTGAGTTTCTCATTTTTTTTTTTTTTTTTTTTTTTTTTTTTCATGGCAATTATAACTGTACATTTATATAACAACCATTTAGTAATTGATTACAGCCTATAGGCGTGGACTCCGATGTTTATCTATTCTACACAAAATGGCTGCTGTGCTGTGAACGTCTTTGCATTCTACGCTCAAATAGATAATACATATTTGTTGATTGACCAAATTAGGTTAATGTGGATTACCTTGGTAACTAGATTTTCTTTTTTTTGCTTGTGTACGTTTCCATATTTCTACCCAACGCCTGAAAGCTCACCATCGGAGAAAAAACTGGATACATATCCTCCCTTTAGTTGGAGTCTTACAAGAAAGTAAGCTTTGCTTTTAATCAGGCGCATGAGCAAAAGCTTTTATTAGTTTTTTTTTTTTTTTTTTTTTTTTTTTTTTGAAAGATTGGTATATGTGTACTCGTGCCGTATCATGACATTTGAATTTCTACTGCTGTGCAAAGTACAAATGAAACTGGCTCTCTTTCCTTGTGCAATATTTTTTATCTTTGTACACCCGTTTTTTTGACATGTTTATGTTTATCGTTAGACATTTTTCCCCTTGTTTCTTCCAATCACAATACACTAACAATTCTCACAGGCAACTAAGCAAAAAAATAAAAATAAAAAAGAGAATAAAAGGAGAGATAACAAGAAAGGATTTTCATCTGTTTCTTTATCCTTTCTTTCTTTTTTTACTTTTTACTTCTTTCCTTTTATCTATTCCTAACATCACTTAAACCTCGAAAAAGTTGCAATATACCAAAAAAAAAAAAAAAAAAAAAAAAAAAGACAGCTGAAAGGACTATGAGCGTTGATACTCCTAAAGTGATGATTGTCGGAGCAGGCATTGGAGGACTATTCCTTGGAATGTTATTGGAGAGCCTAGGGTGTCCATACCATATCTATGAACGCGCTACCGAGCACCGCGCACTAGGTATATCTATCTATATCATTAAATTTTGTTTGACTGTTTATTCGCCTGTATTACTTTTGCATAGGATAGTGTCGAGGTTTGTTTGCTCTATACTAAACAACCTACTACCTTCAAACTGATAACTCGCCTTTTTTTTTTTTTTTTTTTTTTTTTTTATCTTCATTCATATACCAAATATCAGGCTCCGTTTTGGCATTGGGAGCCAACGTTCTTCCTGTGTTCGAACAATTGGGTTTACTTCAACAGATAGAGGAGATCTCTTTGCCATGTTACTCTATGGAGCTGTATAGACATGATATGACACTCTTTAAGTCAATCGAAACAGACAGTGTAAAAGAGTAAGCCGTACTGAAGGATAGAGGAGAGAATAAGATCAAAAATTTCTCCTAGTTGATTTTTTTTCCTGAAAAAAAAAAAAAAAAAAAAAAAAAACTTATATATATGTATATATTTTCCTTTAACAAATAATAATATAGAACCGGATATGAAAGTCTGTTGTTTGAGCGCCCAAAGCTTTATGATGTGCTCTTAAAACAGATTCCTTCCGAAAAAATTACCATGGGCAAGCGCGTCCTCAAAATAGAAGAAAAGGATGATCAAGTGATAATCCATTGTGCGGACAACACTTCATTTGAAGGAGATATCGTAGTTGGAGCAGATGGCGCCTATAGCAGTGTCCGTCAGAGTATATACAAGCGGATGGAGAACATGGGGACCTTACCCAAGTCTGACAAGGATGGTCATTCAATCGGAAGTATTTGTACGGTCGGCGTAGCGCAGTTGCCAGATCTCGAGAAGTACCCTTCGCTTCAAGCCAACCGTTCTTCTTTTGCCGTGACTCTAGGAGAGAACCTTAGATCTGTAACCATTGTTTCTTTTGAGCGTGCATAATATATATTTTACATCAACATACAATTATTAACATTCATTGCTGCCTATTGAAAATGTTCATTTTTTAGTGCTCCATAATTAGTGTCCCAGGCAATCGAGTCTGTTGGGCATTAGGCAAGCAGGTGTCGTCACAAACAGAACCCAATGATGAAAAGTTTCGGAATAATGAATGGGCCATTTCTCAAGCCAATGACAGCATGTTGGAAGAATTTCGTTCATTAAAGTGTCCTTGGGGTGGAACTATGGGCGAACTTATCGACTTGACCGACAAAAATTTAATTTCCAAGGTCTTTTTGGAGGAGAAATTATTTAAAACTTGGTATTTTGGCCGAACTGTCCTCATCGGCGATGGTAAGTATAATATTTGCCTTGTTTATTTATTAAGCATGAAACTCCTTGGAACTGTCAAAGATGATTAATGTTTCTTTTTGTCTATATATCCGCTGTCTACTGATAATGCATTCTCAATTGAAAGCATGCCACAAGGTAATTTACCCACCCCTCTATTTTATCTTTTTATTTTATTTTAATGTGGCAATATTCGTGTTCAAGTTTTAACTCAAACCAATCTTCTTTTGAATCCTCAAATTTGCTCTTTAGATGATGCCCGGTGCGGGTCAAGGTCAGTTCATTGATGATTTAAACTCACAATGGGAAACAATGATATATTATAACCAAAATCGGAATGCTGACACTTCATTACACTACAAACACGTCTTTTTTTTTTTTTTTTTTTTTTTTTTTTAAAAAAAAATACATATATATCAGGGGCCATTAATGCTATCGAGGATGCAGTGATCATTGCCAATTGCATCGCTAATATGACTGATAAGACCCAAAAGAGTGTTGATGAAGCCTTCAAAAGTTACTATCGCCAGCGTTATCACCCCTCTCAGAAGTCGTATCAGCGCAGTAGTATATGGCACAGAGTCAACTACGGCCAGTTTTGGATGGATCGGCTATTGCGTCAGATCATGATCAAGTATATGCCTCGATGGGCCCATTCTTGGGTTTCTACCAAGACTTTAACGTATCGACCTCAGGCTCAATGGCTTCCTCTGGTTCAAAACAAAGGACGGATGCAGGTCATGCCACAGGAGTTTGAAAAGTACCAGCGAATCAAGTCTAAACGCGTAAATGTAGAAACAGAGAAGACAAGTACTCCAAAGGCAGTATAAAAAAACGAAATAAAAGTCGAGCATTGGGTAACATTAAATGGCATTGAGGTGTACGACTTTTTTTTTTATTGCTCCTTGTTCTATGATAGTATTCGGATACCCAAGAATTTTTTTTTATTTCTTGCATGATATTAATAACTCAAACCTGTGAGTATGCTTTTTTTAAGTGTCCAGATGTGACTTGACTGCAGTACCAGGAATCTCAAACGTCTTAGCGCGTGTCAGATACCGCGACATCAACTTGAATACTGCAGGCGATGTATTCATCGCATGAAGTGTGTTTTGCACCTTTGCTAAACCATCTGATTCAATCAACTTGTTCAAATTGTATGCGATCGTTGTAGGGAACTAAAATATGGTGTAATCAAAAAAAAGTATAATTTTTTTTCAGATACAATCACTTTGAAAGCAACATCATTCAATATCATCTCATAGTATCAACACAGTTTTCAAAATAGTTACTTACGATTGTTTCATTATACCAACGCTCATGGTAGACACACAGTTTGATGGCAACCTCCATGGCTTTGTGCAGTTCGCCCTCTTCAGCATAGATTTCCAAGAGTCGGGCCAGTGCTTTAGCAGAAAATTTTTGGTCAGCACAATGTTGGTATGCGTCCTTAGCTTCATCACGATGGTGCAAACGCATCGCCAAATCACCATAGATCTCCCATTCTGTGCCTGACCTGCGGTAGGGCGCCTGCATAGTTTGGTAATTATGTATTTCTGATCGCCAGATCGTGTACTGGCGCAGGTCTTCATACAAAACCATGAAAAGGTTGTCCAACCAACGGTCGCAGAGACGTTTGTTGCTGAACGAGAACGACAGTTCAACTTCGTCATCTTCGTTTTCTTCATCGTCTGATGCAGCTGCAATACTAGGTTTTTCGATTTGCTTTCCCTTGCTGGAAACATGCTGAGGGCTATCCTGAGTCTCCTCATCGCCACTCGACTTGATCTCAGAGTCAGGCTTCTTCTCCTGCTCTTCCTGCTCTTGCTGCTCTACCTGCTTTTCCTGCTCTTCCTGGGCCTTCTGTTCATCGTCCTCTTCTTGATCTTGTTCCTGATCTTGATCCTTGTCTTCCTTATCACTATTAAGAGACAAGTCATCCAACTTAATGTCCTCCATGGACTGATCAGCATTATCATCTGTGGTCTTATCTGAAGCTTCCGTCACTGCCTTAGCACGAGCTTCCTCTTCAGCCTCCTCTTGTTCACGCTCGCGCTCACGCTCAGATTCAGTTGAGATCTTGATGATGGGGATGGGAGTTCCGTTAGGCGACAAGAGTTGATTCCTAGCAGGTACCTCCTCTGGTATACCCTCATCACGACTTTTTGATCTGCTTTGTTGGCCCTTGCGAATGCTTTCTTCGGCTTCCTTTTGCATTCGATATTCCTCTTCCATCACAAATACAAGTGATCGGCAGCGCAGTAACTCATCCCAGCCAATCTTAGAAACGAGTTTGGTCAACAAGTTGTACGCACTAGCAAATGTTCCACGCAGAGTTGGTGCAGGAAGTCGTAACAATGCAGGATCGGCCTCATGCTCACGTCCCGTTTCGTCATCAATAAGAGAGAGGTCAATGTCATTGCGGATAGGCAAATGAGCCTTTGCTGGTTTGGGCATTCGCTGTAAATCTCTTTCACTGAATGTAAACATAGGGCAGGAATTGAGTGTCAACAGCGCGCTTTCATAGTCACCCAGATCAATGTAAACTTCAGTGAGTTTCGCCCAGGTAATAAATTCTGAAGGTGCACAGTTGACCGCCCGTTTTGCCAATCGGAGAGCCATCTCTAATTTCCCTTTGCCTCTTAAAAAGTCGGCTTGGACATGAAGCAAAGCATAGCTTTGTGGGAACTGCTTCAGAGCCTCGTACAGAACGTTGATGGCCTTAAGCTCCTCATCTACTCACAAAAAACCAATCAAGCAACTAAGGTATTCAGAGATTGCTCATATAGCCAACGTTATTGCTCAGCAAGAGGAAAAAAAGGCTAGTAAATTACCAGTTCCGATATACGCTTGAGCTAGCAATGAGGCTACCTCAGGTTCTTTCACGAAAAGACGCTCAAAGAATTTGACAGCAAGATCATATCGGAAACTCTCTTGGCAATACTTCATGATAGCACTCGTAAGATGGTTATTGACAATTGTAGGGACCTGGATCTCAGGATTGCTTCCAAGAGCCCAAGCTCTAAAGAACAATTGCTCCGCAGCCTCAAAGAACCTCTTTTCAGCATCAACATCCGGGATAGGATCCATTTTACGGAATCCAGGAATGCGGTAGTTGGCATCGTCCGAATAAAGGATTGCTCGTAGCATGGCAGATATATATGTTTCCTGCCAAATAGTTGGTGTGGCCTCTTGTCTAGAAAAATAATGATATGAATGAATATCTTGTCAGTCTTCTTAATTCCTGTTCATGTTCAATGTAATACCGTTCAGTTTTCCTGCGACTTCTTTCATCCAAACTTAACATACTTGTCGCCCCTGATACTGACAGCATAACTATCAACGCCCCCTGGAATCTTGACTTCTACGCGAACATCAACGCGAGAAAATGCATTATAACAACTACACCATTATATATAAGTTAGATCATATGTTTTCTTTTTTTGAGCGCAATACATTTCTTTAAGCCAATGCCTTACCAGTAGACACCAGATCGAATACGCCATTGAGCGCCCTTCGAGAACCAGGCATGTGATTCGTCCTGTAAGTTACCGTGTGAATCAATTGTTGTTTTGTGAAGGTTACATTTGTCCAGTGACGTATCAATTGAGTTAAATTAAAAAGAGCACAAAAGCAAGGTGGGTATGGTTGAGGTCATTCCTCCAGAAATAGACAACGTGGCACTGTTGGATAGCGTCTCAGGTCATAAAATCATTTACACATCCGACTTACAATGGCATAGGTCAACGAGTTGAGATAAGCAGCCAGGCTAGCTGAAGATGAAGCATCAATACCGGACACATAGTGATATGAGCTTGTCTAACATGTTGTTCAACAGAAAAAAAAAAATTCAACGACAAACCGTGGGAGATGTGTGACAGAGTCATCGTTAGCGTTGTGAGGTTGAATTCCTGTTAGAAAGCACACTCGCTCCATCTCCTGTAAGGCTGATTCGCATGAACACATTCAGGGATTATACCTCCTTAATAGCCGGCTTCACGTTAACCTTGATGATGTGGCAGAGGTCTGGTGCTCCCATCTCTTTGAATGTGCCTGAAAAAAAAAAAAAAAAAAAAAAAACGGAGACATTCCATCAGTAAAGGCCTCTGATAGAAACGCGGCTCCTAAGCCTATCCTGCTTCATCCACCCATGCGCAGTTCTTACCAAGGGCCTCTGTTCTCGCATGCAGAGACTCGCCAAGCTCCCTCTCGATGAACTCTGGGATGTCGCGCAAGTTGTCACCCATTATAATAGTTAGTCACACAAAGAATATAGGAAAAGGATAAAAAAAAAAGAAATATCGCAGATGTCAACAAGCGATGACGCGTGAAATATTTGCCGAAGAGAAGGAGAAGGGGAAGAGAGGGTAATGATGGAAAAAGGTGAAAGAAAAATCAGCTTTTTGATGATGGTGAGAAATGAGCAAAGAAAAAAGTTAAAGGTGTGTCCTGCATTGTCAATTAAAGAAAAAGAACAACCTGTAACTGCACATTGTAGCTTGATTTTAGAGGATTTCAATAATCTGCATTCCTATTTTCTTATTAATTTCTGCTGTAGGTGCGTTGTAGATGAGACTACATATATATATTTCTAAGAACTTCTAAAAGAATATCCCATCAAATAATGCGAAAATTTATAAACTACCCTTAACTAAAGTAGAAATCTGCTTGGCTACTAAATGGATCAATCTCTTCTCGATAATGAGCCGGAAAAGGAAGGAAAGTAATAAGGCTGGGACATTTATGGCCTTGCTATTCGACTTGGCCAGCTAAAAACCGAAGCAATCGAGACTAGCACAAGGTCTTTGAAGGAAAGTTTTGCTGGATGAACGTCTCAGAATAGTCGTTGGCATTAAACAAACTTGACATATCGTTAACAAGGATCTTCAATTCCTTATTGGGAAACATGTTACCATGTAGTCAACGGGCCAGAGTTGATCATGAAAAGATGCAGGACATTCTCAACTATTGTAGTGATTCTCCCACTAGCACCACACTGCTGTCTGACAGTTTCGGCGACCATTCTGCTCTCTGGTAGAAAGAAGCCAATGGCTGGCACTCAATCATGTAATATCCTTACCGCACCGTCTTTGCGTCCTGGTATCAAAAAAAAAAAAAAAAAAAAAAAAGATCACTGAATGCTCATAGTTCAGATGACCGCTCAAGGATCTGATAAGGTACACAAATGCGTTCCAGAAGAGTTATCGGAAATAAGCTACCAAGGCCGACACCAACAAGCATAATGGATGATGATCAATTGACCTTTGCGCGACAGGAGTCGTTCATTCGGATATTTGTATTGAGTATTTGGGTCTGCTTGAGCAGGAATGGTCCGAAACTATTATCCCTTGAATTATAGTTGGATGCCTTTTAGTCAGGATCCGTGCTAGAATGTGATGATTGCCGCCTCGGCCATTTTTAGTTGAATATAAATACAAATAGGATCTTTGAAGCCTTGAGTCATGCTATCGTGAGAATGATCCTGTCAAGTGATGAAGTTCTTTACTAATGTTAATTTCAGACACCTTCTTGAGATAAATCTATTCCAGACGACCTTGATTGAGCAGGGTGTCTTAGCTGAGGAGTAAGTAGCCTTATTACCCCTCTCTGCAGAATGACATCTATGCAGACAATAAACTTAAAGGTAGCTCACCAAGTAGCCTGTGTGACTAATGTGCAATGCACAAACTACTCTCACTGACAGATTGGGACAAAGCTCGAAAACTTATTTTTCTGTCGTACAAGCTGCATGTATTCTCAAAGTCGAACATTTCGCGGGAGTGCCTCAATAATTTCTTTGTCGAAAAAGAATTGGAGCATAATAACTCCTGTATTTTTACACTTCTCCCACCAGAAAGAGCACTCTCATGCGGCTTCTATCACAATCACCATTGCCAGAAATGACTTCAGAAAAAGAAGAGGGCAGCCTCCTGCGGTGTGTTCGACAGAAAGAAAAATGAAATAAACAATTCCAACTTGTACGACAGAAAAATGTCTAAGTTTTCGAGCTTTGTCCCAATCTGTCAGTGAGAGTAGTTTGTGCATTGCACATTAGTCACACAGGCTACTTGGTGAGCTACCTTTAAGTTTATTGTCTGCATAGATGTCATTCTGCAGAGAGGGGTAATAAGGCTACTTACTCCTCAGCTAAGACACCCTGCTCAATCAAGGTCGTCTGGAATAGATTTATCTCAAGAAGGTGTCTGAAATTAACATTAGTAAAGAACTTCATCACTTGACAGGATCATTCTCACGATAGCATGACTCAAGGCTTCAAAGATCCTATTTGTATTTATATTCAACTAAAAATGGCCGAGGCGGCAATCATCACATTCTAGCACGGATCCTGACTAAAAGGCATCCAACTATAATTCAAGGGATAATAGTTTCGGACCATTCCTGCTCAAGCAGACCCAAATACTCAATACAAATATCCGAATGAACGACTCCTGTCGCGCAAAGGTCAATTGATCATCATCCATTATGCTTGTTGGTGTCGGCCTTGGTAGCTTATTTCCGATAACTCTTCTGGAACGCATTTGTGTACCTTATCAGATCCTTGAGCGGTCATCTGAACTATGAGCATTCAGTGATCTTTTTTTTTTTTTTTTTTTTTTTTTTCTTTAAAAAAAAAAAAAAAAAAAAAAAAAAATACTAGGATTACTCTGTCAGTTAATATGAAATCATCTCCAATCCCATGTTTGAACATCCTTGCCAATGGCTATAAGGAAATAGTAAAGTTTCGCAGTTTGTACGCTTACTTCTTCAAGATCTCCTTACAAGTGATAAATAGGTACGATATTTTCCATGGTAGCAAACTCACGCCTGAACAACGCATTGAGGAAAAAAAAAAAAAAGTTCTAGAGCAATTTTTGTAGTGCACAGAGCATCTTTAAATTTATGCAAAGTGGACGGGCTTTGTAAGCGGGTGCATGTGCCCTCATTCTTTTGCTATATTAGAGTCATTTAAAGGTTCTATTGTTTGGCATGATAGTTGATAATAAACTTTGTCCATTCCTCGATATTCCATCGGAATATGGCCAGGATATTGGCATACTCATCTCAGTTTTCCTGGTTCCCATCAGTACCGAATTGTGGCGCAGGATCTCTCCTTCCTCACGAGGGCAAGAGAAAGTATTTCGAGGAGGAGCTTATTTAGTGACAGAGCATTTGCAAGCATCGATGATATAATATCGGAGAGACAAGGAAAAATAAACAATAAATAAAAAAAGAAATAGTGACCTTTTGCTGATTCAATGCAGAATATTGCTTGTAGGAGTGTCATGTTCATATTCAAGTCACCCAAAGGTCTGGTTTTGATGAGTCCCAGGAGGGAAAAAAGTAAATAAAAAGTGCATCATTATATATTGTTCATGTTCATATGTGCCACTTCCTTTTAAATCAATAACACAAGGTGATAGAGCGGATATAATCTGGATAGATTATATGCGAAACGGGCTTGTCTAGTGTCTAGGAGTTTTGCCTGAGTACAGGGGAGGAAAATGATTAGCTGGAGGATATGCATAAATTCATAGGACCGTGCATGGGCGAAAAAGCTCTTGTTTTTAACAAGCATGCAGATGATATTTAATCCGCCATGCATGTCCATCTTCACCCTCAATTGAAGGGCACATGTCCGTCTCCAGTTCCTGTCGACAGCGTCTGTTACGAGCGAACTAGCGACGGATAATTAAGGTTAATTGGATCGCCTTCTAAAAACAGGTCAACAGTCTATCGTACAGGTACCCGTCGCCCATTTTTACGAACATAGAGAACATCGCATTCATAGGACATTCTTGGCCATAGCAATCACAAGCTTTTTAGAATTAGATGAGCAGACACCTGTCATCCCTTGTCGACAGTGGTAGTTTATAGTAAACAGCATATGAACTATGAAATATGTAAAGTCAATGATGTGGCCATCTAGGTCACTAACAGTGCCACAATGCCGGGTAAACAAAGGCTCTTTTCTTCAAGTCTTTTCCTTTTTGCTTAAACAAACTTCTCCCTTTGTTGTTTCGCCTGCTTGCTCATTACCTTCAAAGCACAGGACATCCATAGGGTCTCGCTCAGTCTCTTGTTATCCCCTGGAGTGAAACTTATAGTAGACAATTGACTTTTTTAACCATTGCTCTCACTCTTTTTGTTTGTTTGTTTGTTTTTTTTTATTTCTCTCCCCCAATTCTACCTAGCTCTTTACTTGAGTTCTTTCTTCTCTCTTGTACTCGCTAATTTCTTTTTTTTTAAACTTCATTCTTTAACTGATTCTCATTTCTCCATCTCATTGTTGTCAACTTTATAAAGAGTCACACAGCCTCCAATTCCTCGTACGCAAAAAATAATTTTTTTAAATCCCTGAATATACCATATCTTATATCCTTGCCCCTTCATAGCACCTAACCATGCCCAAAGACGAGTGCACTTCCCCTACAACCTTCTCTCGGTCTTCATCCTTTGAGTCTACTCATGCTCCTACTCTTCCTCCAATCCCTGCTCCCTCTTCTTTCTCACAATCTCTAGATAATCGTCCAGGGGTTATGATTATCGGCGCCGGACTAGGCGGTCTTTTACTGGGCGCACTTCTAGAGCGGATTGGCATCCGATACCATATATTTGAACGTGCTTCTAAGTTGCGGCCGTTAGGTATGCAATAAAAAAAAAGAGAGAGCCTTTCCCTAGTTTAAAAATATGCAAGAAAAAAGGCGGGGAAAGATTTTTGGTGCAATTGATCGACCAAATTTGAGTCTAATGCTAATTAACTTTTGTCCCAAAACGACACTGCTAATAATAATAAATCGAATGAATACAATTGAATAATATAGGCGCCACGATGACTTTATCATCTCCAATCCTTCCAGTGTTTGAGCAACTGGGCCTTCTGGACGAGATCATAAAATTCTCATATCCATGTCCTCAAATAGACATCTATGATGCTGACTTATCCTCCTTGGGAAGTTATAAATTTCATGCCATGGAACGCCTGTAAAGTTTTTTTTTTTTTTTTCTTTACTACTTGGTGAGCAGGAATAACGACCTCTAAAAGTATCTCAAAGCCTTAACATTTTTACTTTTTTGCTACACATGTCCGACACCTTAAAAATAGAACGGGCTATCCTATAAGGCTTTTTGCGAGACCTCGTCTCCACGAGTTGCTTCTTCGTCAAATCCCTCCACACAAGATTAGTCTTGGCAAGAAAGTCCTCAAGATCGATTATGCAGCCATGGAGAAAGATAAAGACAGTTCAGCGATTATCCATTGTTCTGATAACACGAGTTATCAATGGGATATGGTCGTTGGAGCCGATGGAGCCTATTCTGGTGTCCGTCAAAGCATGTACAGACATATGAATGGACAAGAGAAATTACCCAAGCAGGATCAGAAATCTCTCCTTGCAGGTCATATTACCATCCTTGGTGTCACACGACCCATGGACCCTGAAAAGTATACACAGTTGAAAAATACGACATCTGCGACTGTTTCACAGACTGTTTATCCCGATCGCACTGGTGTAAGTAAAAGGCATCTGGGTTAAAATATGAAATTCAATCTTGCATTTTTATCTATTTCTAATTTATAATATGTATATGTGTATGGTTTTATATCATCAATCAGTGTCATGTTGCAAGTCTTCCTGGAAATCAAATCAGTTGGGCTATCTGCGTCCAACTCACCCCTCAAGAAGCCAAGGACCAACAATTTAGAAACTCAGAATGGGTGTCTGATGTAAATGATGCCTTCATCCGTCGATTCCGTGATCGACCCTGTGTTTGGGGCGGCACTATGGGGGATATCATTGATGCCACGCCTAGGGAATTAATCTCCAAAGTATATCTGGAAGAAAAGATGTTTAAAACCTGGTATTATAAGCGGACAGCACTCCTTGGAGATGGTAAATTAACAACAGCAGCAGCAATAGATAAAGCGAGTAAAAAAAAAAAAAAAAAAAAAAAATTACTGGTTATTAATCTTTTTTTTTTTTTTTTTTTTTTTTTTTTTTTTAACTTTGATGCACCCTAGCATGCCACAAGGTAAAAAAAGGGCTTCTCTTTCCCTTCCCTTACTTATCCATCGCAATAATTTATAACGATTATGGTGGCCCCCCTCTTATTCACAATTGATTTTTTTTTTTTTCCTGTTCCACAACTAGATGCTTCCTGGCGCCGGCACAGGTGCGATGTGTGCAATGCACGACGCAGTGGTGTTATCAAATCATTTATATGAGCTAGATGACAAGTCTATAGAAAGCATCACCATTGCCTTACAAAAATACTATAAGGAGCGGTACACTTATGCTTCCGCCCAGTTCGCCTTCAGCCAAAATATGTCCACGGCTATCTTTGGATGTGTAATGTCCCAAAAAAAAAAAAAAAAAAAAAAAAGTTGTTCCGTCTAATTGGACATTTTTTATTGACTTTTTTTTTTTTTTTTTTTTTTTTTTTTTTTTAATAGACTAAAAAGGAACGTTTCCTACGGCGCATTTTGTTGGGATGTGTCCCTCAATGGGTTTATGATCGAGAGTTTAATAAGTGGCTCAAATATCGTCCTCAGTTGTCTTGGTTACCTTTGATCGAAAAGCGTGGCACCGGTGAGAGACTGCCAGTGTATTCATCGTGGAAATTTCTCTTGCAACAACGACAGCTGGAGCTGGAGCAACAGGTTCTGGAAAAGTTAAAACAACAGAGACTTCAACAAGAACGAGAACAAAAACAAGAACAAGAACAAGTAATACATAGGCAATGGTGGTAGCATACATATTAATAATAAAAAAAGAGCTAAAAAAGAAGAATTATACTTACTTTATCGAGCGTCTTAACGCATGGTGCGCACAGGAATGAACGAACGAGAAAAACCCAATAAGTGTATCCGTGCATCCCATCATTTGCCCAAATGGTCAAGCTTCAAGATGTTTTTCTAATACACATTCTTTTTTCATCTTGTTTTATTTTACAAGCGAACACGAATGAGGTTGGTAATAGTAATATTAAAAAAAAAAAAAGAAATTACATAACTGCTATTCTATTTTTTTTTTTTTTTTTTTTTTTTTTGGTCAGCAAATACTATTATTTTTTTTTTTCCTTTCCCTAATTAAAAATCTTCTTGAGGAAGCCCCGGACTTTCTTCTTCTTTTCAGTATGGCTATTGCGGCTGCCGTTCAGGCTCGATGTGCTAGATGACGATGCCAATGGTGTGTTCGTGCCGCTGTTGTTGCCACTACCGCCCCCACCACCATTGATCTGCTGCAGCGAATCCTGAGAAAGCGATAATGGAGATCTGTAACCACCATTAGCTAAATCAATTAGAGAAGACGGGCCATGCAGAGAGAGTCGTGTTTGATCCAAACTACTATTCCGATCACTGTTGCCCATGATCATTGACTTGATTGTGTTGGATGTCAACTGTTCATAGCTTCCTCTCCTAGACGACGCTCCTGATTGGTTTTCAGCCGCAGATACCTGACTTGCTAAATGACTACCAAAAGAATTCACAAGTCCTGCGTGACAGGCCTTTGCCTTGCTTACATCTATATGCATGTAAGTGTACGCATGTTAATACGCAAAAAAAAAAAAAAAAAAAAAGCTTGGTTCGTATTTTTTCTGATGTTCGCATGGCCCAGGTTACAAATAAAGATGTTGCTGGAAATACATACCTAAATGTTCTGCCAAAATTTCTGGTGAGAGACCTCGACGACGCCCAACATCCTCAGGGGTCTCCCCTGCGTCGTTTTTAGCATTCAAGTCTGCTCCACATGCAATTAGAAGAGACGAAATGTTCCTATGATCTTGACTGATGGATTCGTGCAGGGGCGTCCATTGACGTTCTCCACGACTGTTCACGTCACCATCGAGCTGAACCAATACCATCACCATCTCTAGATGGCCTCGTCGTGCGGCAAGATGCAAAGGGGTACACCCATGCATATCATGCTGCGACACAGGACTACCAGATTTAATAAGCGACAAAGTCAACATAACATCGTTCTGCAATAATAAACCGAATGATGACGATGTTAAAGAATTCGGTCCTAAGCGCTGTAAAATTGTCCTTGCACAATCCAGATTTCCTGAGGCAATCGCCAATTCAACAGGTAGAATCCATTTTCCTTTCCAAAACTCCTGCAATTCAGGTGAGAACCGCTTTTTGCCATCGCCTGCCTGTGCTGCCTGCATCCTCATTGCCTTGCGAGCCTTGATCTCCTCATGACTGAGCCACTGTCGACCACTCTCATATCGTTTAGCAGCAATGTAAAACTCTATCGGATTGTCACTGGGATCATCCTTGGAATCAGCCACCTTGCGCCTACGAGACAGAACCCCCATGCCTTTGAGTTTGCTGGCCCAGAGGTATTGCTGGAGCGTAATACCAAGATTAGGGTCTGCTCCATACTCCAGTAATAGTTTTACAATACTGTTAGGGCTAGTTGGTGCATACCCAGGAATACGGAATTGTGTGTTGGTGGACTTGTTAAAGGACGATGGCAATTGGCCAATAAGCGTCTGTGATGCAATATCCAAGTGAACTTGTTCTCCTCTAGATAGCATGCTTGCAAGCTTTGCTGGCGGCAAAGTCGGTGGTGGACAAGTTGCATTTGTGCACTCATTCAATGTCGTCGCCAGCAGAAGAGGCGTCAAGCCACACCAAGACTGATTAAGATTTGCGTTCTAATAAAACAATAAAAGGTGGAGTTCTAGGTTTTAGCTCAAACAAAATAAAAATAAACATAGAAATAGAAAAATAAGGGGTGGGAGGAAAGGGCCCTTGCAAACCCAATCAATATACCTTGATCATGGACCTAACCAAGTTGCACATGCCCAGTCCAACAGCCACAGTAAAGTAGCTTGGATATTCAAACGGGCCCGTCCTTCCCGGCTTCGTGCGATATTCATCCTGAGCTCTTCCAACGATTGGATAGTTGACGTCGATAGGAAATCCTCGTTCTACCAACTCAATAGCAACTTGCTCCATCCTGTAGATCATTGCCAACAACATGCAGTGATTTAGATCCGAATACGATTTCTTTTTCTTCTTTTTGAGAGCATTAGAAGGAAGTAAACTAATATATTGAAGTGCCAATTCGGGTCTCTTATCACGAATCGCCATTTCAATATTATGGAGAATGACTAAGCGTTCATATGATATAAAAAATATAAAAAAATAAAAATTGAGATGTGAGCTTCTTCTCTTTCTTTCTTTCTTTTTTCCTTGTCGGAAACTTCATTCTATGAACAAAACCAACATGAAGCGAAACAACATGTTTACCTGGTCTCGTTCTCTTCTTAAGTTTTTTGGATCGTAGGAATGCAGGGATCCGCTGTGCCATAAAGCCTCCTTGTATGCTCTTCTTAGCATACTCCTTGCTGAATGACTTGCGATCAGGCTTCAAAATTTCTTTGTCTGGATAGCGTTGAGTAAAAATTCATAGATGTTAGAAAACATTCGCAACAAATAGAAAACAGATCCTATATTCATCAAGTCAAGCATACATACCTGGTTTTCCTTTGAGTTGTTCCTTGGTGAGCTTTTTGACGACGCCTTCTTGACGTAGGCGGTTATCCATCCGATATAGTAATGTGAGGAGCCGCCGTTGTCTTCTAGGATAAATGTCGTTAAGTCGGAATTCAGCCAAAGTCAGGCTAAAGGGTGTACTGGTGAGATCTTGATGATGAGCATCAAAAAGACCTGCAAGACCAGAACTATTGCCTACGTTAGTTACATCCTGCTGCAATGATCCTTTCCTTGCAAAACTGGAGGGCAGTGTCATGGATGAAGCCGTCGTGTCGAAAAGTGCCGCTACTGAATGGCGATTGATGGATTTATTTTTGGAAGACTTGAGAGTCTTAACCCCTTCGGGGAGTGGTGTTTTGGCTTTAGGGGAAGGGGAAGTGGTAGTAGTGGATGAAGTTCGACTGCTTTGGCGATCTCCATTTGTTGTACGAACGCTCGTCAATGAAGGTTCTGTTACGGAAGTTATTGAAGACCGTGGTGTGAGACGTGGCGAAGAATCGGGGGATGTTACAGGCGAGGGCAAAATACCTGGGCTGTCGATTGCGCCCTGGGAGCCACCGTCCAGAGACAGAGATGGGAGAGATGATTCTGTAATAGAGGCGATAGCTGGTAGTCCAGGGGAACCAGGAGGACTATTTGCTGGTGAGGCAATGAGACTGTTATCCGTGTGAAGATTGGGAGTCGAAAGTGAACGTTGACCAACTGTAGGCGTTGTCAGATATGGTCCTGCAGGCATTGGTGCTCCTGTGGTGGTGAGAGTGCGCTTGTGAAGGGGACTTGGTTCTAGAGAGTTAGAGAGGTCATCTTCGTAATCATCTGCACCTATGTCCTGGGTATCTGCAAGGGTAATAAATGTCGAGGGAATAGGCCTACTGGACGCCGACTGTACAGTGTTATCCTTGCTGCTTTGTGTTGTCTCAAGTGCGTTCTCGTGGCTGGTGGTTCCGTGCGCCATGTATGCAGTGTCTACTTCAGGTGATAGAGTGCTAGAATGGTGTTGCTCTCTCAACTTTGCAGTTTCCTTCAAGTCCTGGTGCTGTTCCTGCGACTGCTCGTTGTTATGCGTGGGAGAGGAATGCTCTTTGTTATTTTGTTCTGCTGTAGGAACAGTCAATGAAATGTGAAATGGCTGATGAGACTGTTGTTGCTGCTGGAATGGAGTGTCCATGGGTGCAACACGGGTATTATTATTTAGCAAGGATGAACTGGGGACGGATGGAGTGGATGAAGAAGTAGTGACGGGTTGAGTTACATGTACCTGAGACTGAGATTGGGACTGGGACTGATTTAAACCCTGACTCTGACCCTGACCCTGACCCTGACCCTGAGTTTGTAATGTATTTTGCTGTTGCTGATGTTGCTGATGTTGCTGTTGTTCTTGTTCCAGCTGTTGTAATTCCTGACTGAGTTGAGCGCCTGCATGATTTCCAAGCGAAGACTTTGCGCGTGTTTTAAACATTGAAAGACCGCGTTGAATCGAGTTTTGCTTCTTGTCTGTTAAAGTAATTTCGAGGCAGTGGAAAGACAAGGAAACTTGCGTTAGTCGATAGTTGTAGAAAACGCAATTAAAGCGAAACAGAAAGGAGCAAAGTAGCTGTGTCAAAAGAAAAGGAATCGGATGGTGATGATCAACGCCAGATTGCCCTACTCCTATTTCGGTATCTTTTATCACTGCTGAAGTGCCATGCGATGTTATGCTATGCTATGCTATGCCATGTAATGCCATACCACACCACACCCCATAGAACTATCATAATAATAGAAGCACAGGAAGGATCCAACGAAAAAAAAAAAAAGAAAGAATAGAACAATGGAAATCTCTCACACAGACAGGGCAATTATGACTAAACGACGCTAAAAAAATTAACCAAAATGGAGATCCTTCTCCTTTGATGGAATTAATGGCGGGCATTCACACAACACCACCCGCAACCCGTCAACGAAAAATATTATGTTGAGTACAATGACTTGGTTACCAAGCTCAATGGGGGAAGCTCTTGGCAAGCAAAACAAAAAATAAAAATCGATTCCAGCTCATATGGCTTTTGTTGGTTATTCTATTCAAGATTATGCATTCTCCGCCTATTTTTTTTTTCAGTCCGCAGTCTATTATTTTGCAAACTTTCTATCCTCTTTTTTTTTTTTTTTTTTTTTTTTTTTCATATCTGTGATCTAAACTGTTGAAAGCATTTCCTAAACTTGGAACAAACAAGCAGATGAAAAAAAAAAAAAAACGATAGAGCACCAGAATGAATAGCGAAATGCAAGATGAAAGAGAGCTCTTTCAAACTGAGAATATCACCATGTTCTATAATCTACATGAATGTGTACAATGACAATGATACATAATAATAATAATATACATTGTTACTGGTGAGCTGTCGACTTTTCTTTTTTTTTTTTTAAAAAATATTTTTTCCTCCCATATAAAAAACAAAATAAAACAAGGTTTGGCGACGAAAGTTGAATAAGAATGAAAGAAGGTTTGTGTGTGTGCTTTGGACCGTTGAACATTTGACTGTGAATTGTTTAGGGCGGTCAGTAACAGTGAGTTCGGACCATCGATGATGCTGGTGGCACATACCTTTTGAAGCAGTTGCTGGTTCTTCGTGTCGCTGTTGTCGTTGTGAGGACATATTTGTTTGATCAATGGATAATATAGAGCTTTTCTTTTTTTGTTTTTTACAGGGGAATAAGCAGAATGAGATTAGATTAAAGGATGAATGAATGCTAATGCAAAAAAAAAAAAAAAAAAAAAAAGGACAATGCGAATTTGACTGTTTAGTTCAGAAAATGGAAAAGAGGTGAAGAAGTGAAAAAGAGAAAGGAACAAGATAAAATAAAAACAAGGAGTTCAAGTATGCTATATGAGTGTGGTTGGATGAAAAAAAAAAAAAAAAAAAAAAAAAGAAATGAGGATCAAGATCTTGTCATATTTTTTTTAACCCAAATGCCCCAATGGCCCAATGGTTTTTATACATTTGTCAAGTACATGTACACGTTTCATAGTTCACACGCAAGAATGTGATACAGTCTAGGAATCGAAAGGCTGCACTAAAAGCCACCTCCAATTGGCCCAACTTGCTGAACAAAAGGTGGCAAAAACTCTGTCCAACAACACGCAAACAAAGGATCTCCCTTTCAATAACAGCCTTGAAATTTACTTCAGATTCATATACATGTATATATCCCTGATGCTGATATGGCTTTGAAATAACTGTTTCATGATAATTATACCTTAATTTGAACTAATTGCCCTCGACTCTTCTCTTATTATCAAAGCATACATCTGTATGTATATTACATGAACATGTACACCCTCTGCCTTGCCGCTTCCTAACTGTTTTTGCCTCTTTTTTTATTATTATTATTATTATTTTTTCAATCCTTACATATTTCTTTCATGGTAACCATTCAAAAGTATCGTAATAATAATATTATTAAGTGGAAGAGAAAAGTGCTCCTTGGTAATTGATATTTTAGGCATTTAGGCACAATATCCCTTCAGGGCTCAACAAGTATTCCTGTACTTTCGTTCTTCTCCTCCAAATATCTCCTTTAAAATCATTGAATGCACGGGCTTCTTACTTTGAAATGTGAACAGCAATATACTTTAATCCCAACGGCAAAACGTTCACTTGACTATTTTAATATCTGTCTCGCTTGCAACCACCATTGTCAACATGAAAGTATATACATGTGCTAAAAAAAAAAAAAAAAAAAAAAAAAAAAAACGCTGTTACATACATAATTTATTAACTTATTTGTTTGTTTGCATGCTATTTGTCTTCTTGTATGGACGAACCCTTTTTAGCTCCATGTAATAAATTCCCAAGAGTAAATTCCTCCAATAAAATACATTATGATTTTCCCACCTGTTGGTTGCCTTGTCAAACATATTTTTATAGCTAAAGAGGGATTAACTGGATGATTAATGGTTATGCACAATTGATTTAAGTATATATATCGTAGTATGCCGGAGGAGCTGATAAGACCAAAAGCGCTGCTGCTGCTCCAGATATGGCTTTGCTAGGAGCTTCACCGTAGTGATCTATTTGCGAGTTGAACATAGTGACCATTAACCTCCCACCCACCTTTTTATTTTTTATTTTACCTATTCAGATCCTATCAACCAAAGTCGTGCATGCGTCTTTGGTACTCTATGTAGAAGAAGCTGAGTTCCTCATGGTGCATGAGAAAGGGCACGTGTATCGCCACTGCATTCAAAGAAAGGCTCTTTTCTATGTATAACTCGCATAGACGTGTTATTTACGCATACAAAATTAGAGAGGGAAATATGCTGCCGAAGAAAATCTACCCATCGACGTGTTTTTGCAAGCTGCTTTGCCCTCATAGCTCCCTTGGTACTCTGGGTACGACGTAGAATATATACAATACTTATTAGGGCAATCTCCTCTCTTCAAACTGAAGATAAATACGATAACTTGTCATGTTTAGACATCATTATAGGATCGTATAAAGCCCGAAGCTTGCAAACCCAGGCTTTCTGCCATACTTGCATACTTAGGAACAGCCTTTCGCATCACTTCCAGGCAGCCATGGTCTATTTGTGTGATGTCTTTTATTGATTCTGACCGAGAAATAACTAAAGAAATAAAAGTTCATGTTCGCTCTGATCTACTCTCTATCTAGTAATGGGTAATCTAAGGACGAAAAGGATGGTATTGGAGGGACATATACCCAAGGCTACTCTGATAATGAGGATAGTGTGTCCTTTGTAGCACTTTCAAACCATTTCTCCGTCTCATATATGAATACTTATCAAGAGCTGGAGGTGTCGGCCACACAGATTTTGGTATCGATCTTTACCCAACAGTGCAGGTATGATGCTTTTTAGTGATCGTGGGATGTACGGGTGTTCGTGGCACCGTAGAAGCGTGGCATATCATTAGTGACTTTGAGGGTGACCTCATTACCATTGGACTTTCTGACCGATATAGCCGGGAGCGTTTGAAGCGCCGATACTTCTTCAGCCCATTGTAGCTATGAAACAATATCGAGCCCGGCTTGAGTCTTGGTCTAGAGCTGCATGTGGTTGCTGAGTGCCAGAAGAGTGACGGGGCAGGCCAGTTGGCTGCAATTGCCCTCTTTCTCAGTGCGCGAGGCTCTTGCGTTTAGCTAGAGCTTATGGGAGCAGCTCTTCACCGCTGATAAGGGGAGGGAAGCACATTGTTCATCTTGAAGTGGCCCATCGATGTCCATGTTTTGGTCGATGTCGCTTATGGGGTATTCGCCATTCCATACATTGTTACTTGACGACTCCGTCAGGCGAGATGAGCTTGCAGCCGTGTTGTTACTCATAGATATCCGGGTAGCTTCGTTGAGGTGGGTGGAGGGTTTTTGGGATTCGTAAGTATTTTATTGATATGATGCTGCGAAGAATCTTCCGTTAAGAAAAGAATAGAGAAGTGAAGCAAGTGCTTTCGACAATGTTCTGTCGAACTAATGTTTGTATGCAACAATGGGGAAGACAATCTGTTTAGTAAAGTTTAAAGAGGCCTTATTGTTGAATGTGGTTTTTGGCTTTGCGGTAGATCGTTGCCTTTGAACACGACCATTCCGATCGAGACAAGAGAAGCGCTATACCACAATGCTTTTATTGGCTTGCCGATGTACACAGCTAAGGCGTTTATATATCGGGTGGATACTTGCATAATGCTTAGGAGCTGTAAAAGATCATTTTTGCAAAGTATTCTGGAGCATAAGCGAGCTGCACAACATGAGGGACATCGCTTACGTCGCATCCCATTCCAGATGCTTCGGTAAATAGTAAAATGAGGATAGCACCACGCTTGAGTCGTTCCATGATTTTTCGCTTATAATTTTCGGTAATCCGGCGTGATATTTTGCGATCTTAGCCTTGATGTGGTCGTTCTCCGTTAATCGTTTCAATTCTCTATGTTAATACTTAATCTCTAAATAGATAATAGTTTTATTTGTGATCATGGAGATGAAAAGCAAAATAGTTGGACTTGTTTTTATGGCCAAAATGCCGGACTTCCAATCTAATGTTGGGTGATCATTACCAGCTTTGATAACCTTGGCATCTGCTTTGAATTGAACCAGCCTTTTGAGCCTTTCTAGGGTCACCTGCGGAAGAGTAACTGAGACAGCGATGACAGCTACGCTCCAAGGCACCTTTGAGTGTAGCTCTGGAATACGGCCATAAGGTGCCCTAAAAATATATACCTATTTGCAAACACAGGGAGCCTCGTCCAAGATAACTGCTTGCAACCGCTTTTGCCAATTAAAATTAAGCCAGAGTTTTGTCAGAACAGGAACGTCGAATATAATCTCTGGCATCATGGGAATAGCTCGATACCCTCCATTGGCCACGCCATCAACAGTGCTTGATTTGGTAGCTCCCCTACTGAGCAGTGCTACCTAGCCTTTCTAGGCTCTGCTGCTCCTCTTCTATCAACGCCCTCATAGAGGAGATGACAATAGTGAGTCGATCTCCCCAAATTCAAATGGAGGAAAATAAACAAGGGCCTTTTCCCAACCACATATGGTAAATAATAATACAATATTGATCGTAGCCGATATATTCGCCAACATCCAACTGCAAGGACTTAGAGATAACGGAATGGCAGAGCGAATGAGCTCATCCCTCTGAAGTCACGTGATCGAAGAATTTGCTCCGCAAAGTGATCGGCGATTCATAAGTAAACAACAAACCCTTTCATCCTTTCTGTTCATCACAAAAAAAAGTAACCATAATGTCCTTCCTCGTCTCGTTGACTCGATCGATGGCTCCTCGCCTAAGCACTCGTTCCATGGCTGCAACGGCCATCATGGCTCGCTATCAGAATCAGATCCAACTTCAGAGCAATGCTGCTTCTATCGCTACGCTTCCTTCTTCTGGATTCGGTGCCACTCGTGGAATGAAAGTCAGGGCTTCGGTCAAGAAGATCTGTGATGGTTGCTCGTCTGTTAAACGTCGTGGTCGTGTCTTTATTATTTGCAGAAAGAATCAAAAGCACAAGCAAAGACAGGGCTAAATAATAATAATAATAATAATAATAAAGTAAAAAAGTCAGATCTAAAGTGCCTGGATCAGAGGTGGAAAAAAAGGTAACAGCTATTATTCAAAGATGGATCGTAGAGAAGATACCAGGTAGGGCAGACATGAGCAGGAGTAATTCTAATATGGAAGATCAAGATCAACAACTGTAACTCCGTGAAATTGACAATCTTTTTTCCTTCATGTTAGATCACAGTTCTTGAACAGGATACGACATCGAACAGGGAAGGAGAATATGATTAGTGGAAGACGTTTCATTTTAGAGGAGTCAGCTTGGGAGTTTTTTTTTTCTTTTTTATTTGGATCAGGAAACAACTTTAGGGATATGCTTCATTGTACTTGCGTTGTTAGATAGCCTGTTTTCTTCTTTCTTTTATTTTCTATTTCTTCAATGTACTTTAATTATCACGGCATCTAATGGACCATTAGCACAATGAAAAGGGGCCTTTTATCTTTGCTGTGGACTTTAAAGGATGATTTCTTTTTATCGTCATCCAATTCTATAAGTCTTATATGAAAAAAAATAAAATAAAAAAAACATGCATTCGTCCAGTATAGAGCTTAATCACTGATATCAACTAGAATACATGCTATCTACTTGATCAAACTACTGATTGAACAAAACTGATTGCAAAGAAGCTCTCGTCTTTTTATCACTATGTAGTCAGTGTGATGCTCGCATGTGAAGGTCATCTTTATTATCATTGTTATTATCTTACCCCTCTCTTTCCTTCCCTCTTTTATTTCTGTCTTCGTCCTTTCCTTTACATTGCATTATCTCTTCTTATTTCCCTTTCTTTAAGAATTTATTTGCCCACCATTGTCAAAAATCCTTTCAAACGTTCACGCGAACGCCCTTCGCTACCTACTGCCTCTGAGCCTATCCAAGAGGTGTACAATCAACATATTCAGACATCCACCTCTTCATTAAGTGCCTCATCACTAACGTCTCCTTTTGAGAGTGTTTCTACTCAGTCGCTTGATACGGCGTCAACAACACCGACAAGAACAGTAGAGCCAGTGCCCGCGTCTGCATCTGCCATCGTGCCTGTGCCGAAGCCCACCTCCGTTACATTACCATCCTCAGCACCCGCATCACCTATTGCTCCGGCCACGCCACTTCCCCAACAGCAGCAGTCTCTATTCTTCTCATCTTTGCCCTCATCAGGGTTAGTGTCAAGTCCGCATACAAGACCAGCAGAAGAAGCTTTGGAAGAGGTCAGGCCAACGGCTCATTACCAAAGGAGCCGTGCTACTACCATTACCTTTGATACAATCTTAACAAAGAAAACCACGAGTGCTGGTTTAACCCCCATCATCACCACTACAGCAGAGAATCCTTCTTTTTTCAAACTACAAAGAACTATGAATCAACTTCAGACAGCTGCAGACGAGGCCGCCCACAAGGTAACAGAGTCGACCAAGAAAGGGTTAACCTCTATGCAGGGTTCAACGGTTGTGCAACGATACGTTCGTCCTACGTACCAATATGCGAAACAGAAATATGATAACTCCCCGACATTGGTTCGGATCTTGATCTTGTTGTTTGGAGCCATGAGTGCGATCCCACTAGGATGCTTTACGGCGTTTATGTCTTTGGTCACCCTAGGATGCTTGATCGTCGGTGGCATTGGTATTACAATTGTTGAGGTAAAAAAAAAAAAAAAAAAAAAAAATTCATTGATAAATACTTTGATGATTCGGAGATTATGGTGCATGATACTACAAAAAGTGTTCACATTTCATTTCATTCGGTGTTAGGGCGGTTTTGCCATATTAGGCTCTGCGTTCTTATTGCCAGCGTTGGGTGTGGCATTGTTGATAGCATGTGGTGTGGGTTTGGTAGCCCTTTTCGCCTATACTGCCTACACTGTGATCTGCTATGTGATTGCCTTCTTCCGGATCGCACCCGATTCGCGTGAAGTTCGACGCCAGGCTTCAGAAATGGCCGAACGAGGAAAAGAAAGGGCCACCCTGCTCACAGGCATTACTCCCTATCAAATGTAAAAAAAAGAAATTCTTCACTTTTGTTCATTGATGTCTGGATTTGAGATTTCTCTGGACAGCTCTCCATTCATCCATAGTACTAAAACAGATCCCTGCAGAAAAATCACTAGCTATTTTTTGCTTTAATCCTCTACACGAAGAGTAATAAAGAACAAGTAAAAAACATAATAGCGTAAAACAGTTTAATATGTGATGTATAATATATAAGATGTGTTGTGATGCTACTGTTCTCTTTCTCTTCCTTCAGAAATAGCCTTTTTCCTCTCCCCCCTCTGTCTAATTAGACCGCTGCTCGTTTTTGAGCAGATCAGGCGTGCTTCCTCCAGCCTTCCAGAAATGAAGGAGTTCCTTGTACGAGGATGGTCGACGAATGTTTTTACTAGTAGAATTGGTGGGAGATGGTACTTTTGTCTTCTCTGCGCTACTAGATAATATGGCATGACTTGCAGACTTGGGTCCGGGTCCACCTGCTAGTCCTATGGATGTGAACGATCGCTGATTTCCTGTAGAAGATGCGCTAGGAGGGCTTTGTTGTTGATGTTTTTGCTGTTGCTGAAGGCCTAAGCTGCCCATGGACATGGCGCGCTCTACACGCCGTTGAGACGAAACAATTGAAGCAGGAGAAGCTCCTGCAATGTTGGGCTCCACATGACACTTTGTGGGTGTTGTTTGCTCCTTTTGTTGCTGGTGATGCGGACGCGTCCCAAAATGATCAAACATAGCAGCGGAGGTGATAATTCTAGCCGGGCGAGTGGTAGTGATGCTATGACGACGCTGTACCAACGATTTCGAGGGGTTACTGGGGTTCGTCAGTGATGAAGATGGGGTAGAAGCTTGCTGTGAAAGTGAAATAGCAGTTCTTTCGTTTTTGTCAAATGGCACTGGACTCTCAGGAGAAGCATTGCGGTCTAAGAAAGTATCAACAACGTGGGATGAGAAGGCTTGTTGATCCTGCTTTTGTAAGTCTAGTTCCTGTTGGTACTGTTGCTGCTGGTGATTATATTGATGCTGCAATGCGAGGTACATGCTCTCAGGCCTTTGTCTTGATGTTGATGATGAGGATGATGGACGGCTCTTTGAAGTCAGTACGGTCTCCAAGGCCCCCAAACGCCCCTCCATCTTGTTGAAGCATTGTTCCAACCGTGCAGAAGTCTGCTCCATGGCCCGAACTCGTTCTTGGATTCTTTTCTCAATATCTGAGAGCAGTTTGACATGGATCTCGGCCTCTATCCTGTTGACACGTGATCCTAGATGTCGATCAACTTGGTCAACCTCTGTAGAGGAGCTGCGAAACATTAATTTTTGAGTGTCTCTCAGTTGAGAGATCAGATCGGTTAATAAGCCGTCATTAAGTTCATGATATTGCATGCCGAAAGACTGAAGCTCTTGGCGAAGTTCCATGATCGAGGCCTTATTGTTATCGACAACAAGTGCAGCATTATCAGCGGTTATATTCAAGAGATGACCATCATTATCGTCGTCATCATCATAACCATTTGCCTGCCGATACATTTGAATCTGGCTTGTAGTATCTACAATATCAGTCCTGTCCAGATTATCTTCGCTATCAAGTTTTTGAACCTTTTCCGATAGAATAAAAAAGGAGAAAGAGATTATCAATATCTCAAGTTTCTCTGCCGGAAGTATTGACAAGAAAAAAAAAAAAAAAAAAAAACAGAAGAAAAAGAAAGGTTTACCTTGTATTCGATATCGCCAAGTTTGCTTGTGATCATGGTCTCCATTTCTTGAACACGGCTGTCTAGGTCATCCATCTTTTGTGAAGCATTTGAGAGTATCTCTTTCCTTATTGTCGCAGACCCTCGAGAGTGGTACGAAGAGTAGTCATCATCATCGTCATCATCGTCATCGTCGTCATCGTCGTCATCGTCGTCATCGTAGTCCTCTTCCAACCCCTCTTGAGAAGAATGGGCGTTGGTACCTCCACGACTATGATTATGGCTGTGATGATGATCCCGATTCCTCTCCTGTAGTGGCTGAAGGTTTAATACCATGAAAGCGCCAGGATCCTGCTCAGTATCGATACCGTCATTGCCGTCGTCACTGTCACTGTCACTACCATCATCAATTTGACTCGGCCTCTTGGAGTGGCCTCCAAGATAATCCTCGTCCTCCTCATGGATGACTTCAAGGAGTAGGTTGTTAGTATTGCTATTGCTGATATTGTTGGTATTGATGTTGGTGTTGTAGTTGTTCATAGGAGAAGACAGGGAGAGACTTTGGATTTGGCTGTCAATATTAGTTTCATCAGATGCTGAAGCTGATGATTTAGACATGGGTGGATCATAAAGTTGGTACCGCTTGATTTCCAAGGATTTGCCGTCATCGTCCTGAGCATCATCTTCTCCATAGTATCGAGGATTGCTGTGATCCAGCATATGTTTTTGTGTATGGGTTGACGATAGCCTTGGCGTCAGCCTTGTCGCAGTAGTAGTTTGCGCCATGCGAAGTGAACCTGTGGCCAACATAAAAAAGTATAATCTTTTTTATGTGAATGACCTTACCACAGATGCATCAAAAGGGCGGGACGGGACAGAAAGACTTCCCATGGCCGAAGTAACAAAGAAAAAAAAAAAAAAAAAAAAAGGCCCCTGTACCTTTACCTGATATAGTCGTTGTTGCTGTAGGAGACAGCATGGAAAGATCCTCCTGTTCCTCTTTCTTGGTTCTTTGGAACTCGAGGCGATCACGCGCAGAAGAGCCATAAGAGTCACTACGGCTTAAACCTGCATTGCTGTCTAGAAGGGGTGAGGGTGTAAACCTACGTGGGATTTGTCGATTGTTTATATCTTCATCGCTGTTCTCTTCCTCATCTGGTTCTGATTCTGTTTCTGTCTCATCAAAGTAGACCTGTTCAGTCTGAATGGGCATCAGACGCAGGAAGGGCCGTGGATGTTCAGCCCTTTCAGTCTCAGTCTCGGTCAATGGTGCACCCTGCTGTGTCTTATCTTCATCTGATTTTAGTAAATATTTATCGAAACCTAGTGCTGCAGCAGCAGCAGTTATCCCTGTGGCAGCTGATGTACTGAATCGCCTTGCGGGTTGATGTTGAGGATAGTGATGTAAAGACGTAACAGAGTGGTTATTGCTACCAACTATGTTCTGCAAAGTTGACGAGCGTTGGATACTACGATCGCGCCCGTTCTGGTATAGGAGATTGGGCGTGGACATGGAGAAAGAGTTTTGCCGTTGGATCTGTCTGTTGGTTGCATTGTAGTGGTGCTTATGATAGTGTTCAAGTTGACTTTGGTTCTGACCCATATTAGTATTTTCTCAATCAATTATGGTAGTGAAAGAAAGACTTTGGTTGAAGTTAGGACGCAGAGAAGGAAAAAAAGAGAAAGAGAAATGGTTCAAGAAGAGCAACTGACAGAAAAAAAAAAAAAAAAAAAAAAAACTCGATGTACAATATCATACTGTAAGTCATTAAGAGTGTCAGGTACAAAAAACAAAAAAAGAGGGGTTCCTTTGTCCTTGTTGAATGCCAAATTACCTCACCATCCCGCTATACCCCTATTTTTTTATTTTTTTATTTTTTGTAATACCAATACGACAGCCGTTTGTAGATGGTTAGGTTGACTTGTTGGTATTTTTCTGGGTTGTGACTTTTCCGGTACACAGCGCAAGAGAACGCGTGTATTGAGACAAGGCATATCTTATGGCTATAAAACGATTACGGTGACGCACGGAGCAAGCAATGGTTACATCTTGGACTCAATTGATTCGAGACTAAGGATGACTCTATTTTTATCATCACGACTTCAATCCTGATTTGCCTTGCTTTTTGGCATTGGGACGGTGTGCAGGAAGAGTGAAGAGGAGGATGGACAATCCAAACATCTGCTCTTATTTTGACATGAACTAAAAAAGAAAAGGGCCTAGTGCCAGAGAGTTTTACATTTGTGTCCACCAAAACCGCAACTACAGACTATGGTACAACATTAAATCCTGGAGGAGAATTGGTATTAAAGGAAGCTGTAGTATTATTAAGCGTTATATTAAGGGTAAAATACCCCAAACGCATCTTTTTTCAGTTGACATTCGAAAGCATGGACAATGTAGATGAGGTCAAGAATAGGATTCAAGGAATATTATATACATGTATATGTATTTATGATGAAGAAAGTCTTTGCCATACTGCGGCAGATGTTCTCACTCTTTTTTTTTCTTATCTGAGGCTTTTTGCATTAGGATCAACCTTGGGATGTATCCATGTCCAAATAGGATTTCTGCGCAGTGCACACAAACAAATAAACAGCAAAAAAATACTCGTGAGTGAAATAGCATACGAAGCTAAGAGAAGACAATCGCAAGTTTGCTTTTCATTGTTTAATGAGAGCAAGATGATAAAAAAATCTCTTGAAATAAAAATAAAACGTGTGCCGTTGTGATGTTCTTCTTGCTTCCATTTTCATATCTGCCATCTCTCTTCTTTCCTTTCCTGAAAGCAATCCTCCTATTTCTTGGTCAGACTCACAATTGGATAGCAAAGACTGTCTCTCCTCTTCTTTCATATCATTTTTTGTACACCCTCATTTGTCTCTCCTTCGCTCCACTCTTCTCTCTATTTAACTTTTTTTTTCTGTTTTCTTTTAACTCTCTCCCTCAACCCATACATTCATTCGTTTATTCATTCATCCATTCATTCATTGATATTCATTTTCTAATCACATCACAGTTTCAAAATACCACAAAGCCATGTCTCTTCAACAGCAACAGCAACACTCTGACATCTACCCTGTCCAACTCACTGATAATGACTGGGCCAGGATTCTGCAGAGCAACAAAGAAGCGCAGGAGATGTTATCCAATACCATTGCTCATCATGAACAATATAGAGAAGAAGACCCTATCAAACGAAAGGGCGTCATCTCTCAGAGCCATGCCAACAGCAACAATGACTCGTTTAAACGTAAGTCTTGATGTCTCATTTCACTCATTTAATCATTGACTTGGTTTATTGAAAGATCTCGTTACTCATTACTTTTTTTTTTTTTTTTTTTTGTTTAACTTTTTATCTATTGTCATGACTGCTCTGTAGATGGATCCGATAGAGCAGAGAACGACCAGAGTTCTGGTGAGTAACATCCTAGCTGACATTTGAACACATTAAGACGCACCAGGCCTGGTGTATATCTTCATATACATGTCCCTCTATCTCTGTTTTTTTTTGTCTTTCTGATATCGATCTCCTGTACCTCCTTACTGGAACGTGTGAGAGAAAGAAAGCAGTAACAAAGAAAAGAAAAAAAAAAAAAAAAAAAGAAGCCATAACACTCATAACATGAGTGAAGAAAGAGATGAAAGGATCAATATTCAATCAGAATGTCAATGAGAGGCTTTCTTTAATGCTGATGATACCCATCTCTTTTTCTTAATCTTGACTTGTACATGATGGGTGATTACTACCAGATGACGGCCACTCACCCGGCGAAGGCAAGCCAGCACCAAAGAAGGCAGGCCGCAAGCCATTGACTACTGAACCGACCAATAAGCGAAAGGTACTTGTGCATAGATACACAAATCAGCCAAAGTCCCCTGTCCAGTTCAGTTCAGTTCAGTCCAGTCCCAGCCCCTTCCCTTTCCTCCAACAACTGCATTTGTCCCGCAAATCTCTATCAACATTTCTTAAAAAAAGAAAAAAAAAACAAACAAACGAAAACGTTTATTTTGGTTGTAGTAAATGAAACATGCCCCAGTCCGATCTCATGCCAATGCTTTATACAAACTCCCGCCGCCACTGCCACTGCCATTGCCATTGCCATTGCCACGCCGCATTTGTTTACTTTACTGACGATTTTTTTTAAACTTTCCGGCTCCGTGGTTCTCAACCCTTAACCTTTTAATCTTCTCACTAGGCCCAGAATAGAGCAGCACAGCGTGCCTTCCGTGATAGAAAGGAACGCTATGTTAAGTCTCTGGAGGAACGTATCAAAGAACTTGAGGAACTCAATCCTGGCAAGACTGATGCCAAACTAGCAGAGGAGAATATGAACCTCAAGCTCATGGTTCAGAAGCTCGAGACCGAGAACTATTTCCTCAAGGAACAGGCTTTCACCTTTGACTTCCCCATCAGCCAGCCTGGTCTCTACAACGTCGCCAAATTGAGTCATGATGGCCTGTTGCAACCCAACACCAATAGTAGTCAAAATGCTCAGTCTAGTCAGAGTCCTAAGCATTCGGTTCTCAGTCCTACATCACAGACTCTCGATTCTGCTAGCAGTAGTAGTAATACGGCAACACCCCCAACACCCGCACAGAACAAGTCTTTTGCTGCGAGCAATGTGGCTAAACCCCCCACTTACGATCAACTTCCCTGGTCACCACCATCGTCTGTTGGTGACAGCGTCCCCAATTCGCCTCTAGATAGCGATCTGTCAACACCAGAGCAAGACACTGTAAACCAGTCTACTCCCACGGATAATGCTGGTGTGGTACCAAGGTTCAGAAATAGCTCACCCGAGGAAGCGGCACTCTTTTCTCAGATTCTAGATGGAACTGGCAACACAGCTCCAATCAATTCTATCATCTCAAGCGCCACTACTACCGCCACTACTACCATCCCTGTTACATCACAACAGTTGTTGCAACCAAGTCAGACCACCTTTAATCAAATGAATCAATATGTCCCATTTGGCCCTACAACGACTAGCACTGCGGTGAACTTGAGCAGTGCAAGCCCTCTGAGCACTTTGGCGGGTCTTTCTGAACATAGCTCTTCTCCTTCAATGGATGAATTGGTCAATACGCCATTGTTTGATGCAAATTTGCAGTTTACACCAACCACATCGGGCTTGTCAGTAGCTCCCTTCACATTTGATCAAACGCAAGCTTTATTCACCGACTTCCGTGATCCATCGGACCCACGTGATTTTTTCACTTTTGAAGACCCAGTCGAGGCTTCATTCCACGATGATAAGCTTGGGGGGCTATTCAGCGACCAGTTACTTGACTATACCAACGCTTTTGCTAATGTAGCGGCAACATCAACAACGACGCCGTTGACCAAGGAAGATGGATGCGAGGAATTCTCTGGCAAAGACGGCAATAAGCACGTATTGCCACCATTGGGAGAGAACGAAAAAGCGTACCCTTGCCCACAAGCCTGGGAGCAGCTCGCTAAGCATCCCAACTTTGATGATGTAGATATTGATGAGTTATGCGCAGAACTCAAATCCAAGGCCAAATGCTCTGGACACGGCCCTATGATTGCACATGCGGATGTGGAGAAGCTGATGAACAGATTGGATCAACAATAGAGACTGGTACAAGCACCATCCGAATGTGCTTAAATGAAAAAAAAAAAAAAAAAAAAAAAAAAAAAAAAAAGGAAAATGACGCTGGTGTTGGACATTGTCCTCATTCGTTCATGCTAACTTTTTTTTTTATATCTGGATTCCCTTTAATGCGCCTGGTTTCTATATTTATTTCCGACATTCAATCTACTTGAATCATCTTATATCTGTACCCGTACAGTATGGTCAAAGGAAGAGGGAGAGACTGACTTGTTCTTGTCCATATTTTCCATCACTCTCTCTATGTCCAGTATCTCCTTTTGTCACTCATTTTCTCGCCTTTCTTGTATTTTTTAACCTTTTGATTTGGCCTAAAGTTTTTTTTCTCGTATCGTTCTAATGTTGTTGCGTATTTAAAAAACTGCTCAGCCCGTATTTTTATTTTATCTCCAAGCCGTATTATCATGTATTTTTTTATTCTTTCTTTTGCTGCATCGTACAAAAAAACAAAAAGAATCATCTCTGACAGGATAGATCAAATAAAAAGAAATGCAAAATAGTTCTCAGGCACAAGTTTGTAGAACAAGGTACATGTACACGTTTTGGATGCATTAAAATGTCTACATGTAAGGAGCCATCTCCGCTACAGAGCGAGTTTGAGTTTAAACTGTGGGGATGAATGCACCATTGGACAGGGCAATCCATCAGACAGCACATGGATAACAGACGTGGGAAGAAAGCAGTATTCACAGAGGTTGTTGTTTGTTTGTTGGATTTTTTTTTTTTTTTTTTTTTTTTTTTTTCAATGCTCTTTCTTTCCTCCATTCATAAACCCATTCATTTGTTCATCCATCTTGGCCCAGCAAAAATAAAATAAAAAAAAAATGAGCGCAGAAGCACCCCAACAGTTTGCATTGAGTGAAGCAACAAAGACAGGGGCGGTCCAAGTCCAGCAAGTTCGACCACTGCAGTCACTTGGTCAGCAACCACATGTATGGACACCAAGTCAGGAATTAGCAGCAAAGTTAGTCTTTGGAGGACTGGGTTGTATGATTGCAGTGGTCTTTACACATCCAGTGGATGTAATTAAGACCCGACTTCAGTTACAAGGGGAAGCAGGGGCAGGGTCTGTTGTACCGTCTATGCACATATCAAATGCCCACACATCGTCTGCACTGCCAGCACATAGGTTACAAGGTATTACCAGTGTTGTCTGCACTTCTACTACTGCTACTGCTGCCAGTAGTAGCAATAGTACCTCGTTGCAGTCAGTATCAGGATCAGGACTTTTATCTTCAAACTCTAGCACACATTTGGCATATTCACCCATGACGACGCCAGTGACAAATGTGATTCATCATCGAGACGCTGCATTGTTGGCTCATGAGACTATGGTCAAACCAGGAGGAGTAACAGGAGCAATAGAAACAACTGGAGGGTTAAATATAACAGCAACTGGTGCTAGTCCTACTGTAAAAAGCCAAGCAGTGCCCAGGACACTTCGGTTGATTCCATTGCTACGAGAGATCATGAGGGAGGAAGGGCCAAGAGTGTTGATGGCGGGACTGGCGCCAGCAGTGTTGCGAGAGAGCATTTATTCGACGATTCGATTCGGGAGTTATGACTTGTTTAAAGGAATTTACAGTGGAATTGGGTTCAACGGATTAGGAAACGGAGAACAAACGACAGTCTTAGTGAAGCTGTTGTCTGGATTGACGAGTGGGATGATTGGTAGTGTTATTGCTAATCCTACAGATCTGATCAAAGGTAACCTTAAGAGAACTCTCCTCCCCAACGATCAAACCCAAAAAAAAAAAAAAAAAAAAAAAAAAAGCCTATTCATGTTTTCTAATTTATAAGCTTTATAATTTTTTTTTTTTTTAAAAAAAAAAAAAAAAAAAAAAAAAAAAAGTTCGGTTGCAGGCATATTGGCCCAGTGGTAAACCACGGTATGCGTCGATTGTAGATGCATGCCGATCCATTTATGTGGAAGAAGGGATTCCGGGATTGTACAGAGGTGTGGTTCCGACAGCGGCTCGGGCCATGGTAGTCACTGCTTCACAATTGGCTTCGTATGATACGACGAAACATTGGCTATTGGCGATTAAAGATTCTAAGGGCCAAGCTAGGTTTCGAGAAGGGTATTTGACCCACTTTTGTGCCAGCACTGTTGCAGGTAATTTTTATATGCAATAAAAAAAAATAAAAAAAAAAAGAGGGATGAAAAAAGAGCAGCGATTGTTAAACTATTTCCCTTTTTTTTTTTTTTTTTTTTTTTTTTTAATAGGACTGGTGTGCTCAATTTCGACATCACCAATTGATACGGTAAAAGTACGATACATGAATCAGCAGTTCAATGCGAATGGGCAAGGGATGTTGTATCGATCTGCGATAGATTGTGCAGTCAAGACGGTACAGCGTGAAGGACCATTGGCACTTTATAAGGGGTTTTCGATGTGCTGGTTACGTCTTGGTCCTCATACGATGCTGTCACTGATGATTTTTGAGAAGTTGCGAAGCTGGGTTGGATTGAACCCCGTATAGTAATAATAAAATAAGTTTGACTATGGTATCGGGGGATTAAGTTGACAAGTCTTTTTTTGTTGTTGTTTGCACGACAGCAAGTTCGTTGAGTTCATTAAGTACCCCACATACAAGGGATTGAGTTTTTTTGATTCGGCAACGACAATGACAATATGTGCTGCACTGCAGAAAAAGCGCGTTAAAAAAAAAAAAAAAAGAGGGAGATAGGGGAGTGAAGGCATTTTCAGGGATGAAAAAACGAAAAAAAGAAATGATGACAAAGACAAATATGAAAAAGGGGGGAAATGGAGACATAGGGGAGGGTGGCAAGGCATGGTATATATCATTCCATTACTGACAATGAAGGTCGATGCTGCCAGTCGATCAATTCGGTTGAGAGGATCTTTTCTTTTATATGATCATGGGGGATCAGTGTAGAACCCCCAATGTAATCTCCTTTTTTTTATTCACAATGATGTTGACGTCTATAATTCAGGAACAAAAAGGTGCGCGGACCAAAACAATAAAGATATGGCATTCCTCAACCCCGACTGTATTTTGAAGATGCGGATCGGCTCCTGCCTCCACCTCATTGTCCGTTCCTCCCCCCTGTAATTTCCTTGAAGATATTCTCTTGTTTTTGTTTATTGTCACCATTCTCCGTCAATCCTAAAAAAAAAGACAAAAGACATGTATGTAGATGCAAGATCCATTGTTGATCAAGTGTTATTGAATTTGGATTGGTTTGTCATATCACGGGCTGTTGACGCCCATAACATTCAATCGCTGAAACCCAGTCAGCCATTCACCCACAAATCATCAATAAGCTCACACACAGATCAGCAGGCGCAAGTAATCAGCAAGCTGTTCTCCTATTCTCAGTTGTTTTTTTTTTTTTTTACAAACAACGAAAGACAGCACTGCCATTTATTCCCTTTGGAAGTGGGGGTGGGTTGTAACTGGGATAACTGGTACTGACAGTGAAGGTAAAAAAAATGTATTGTTATCTGGTATATCATGAAGACTAAAAATACAAATAAAGAAAAATAGTTCAGTGCATGTGTGAGTTTATAGTTTGTTTCTACCACATGTCTTTTTACAAGTTATAACTTACTGACTTGCCTGTCCCTCTTCTCATATACTCACATTGAAACGTTTCTAGCTCTTATTTTATTTTTATTTTTTTCTCAATTACCATTGCAATCCTTCATCTGATTAAGGAAAGAAAGGAAGATAAAAAAAACAAAAAAAGCTTCATCTCTGTCCACATTGGTCTTTGTTTCTATTTCTTATTCTCATTTCCAAGCTCATTGTCATCAGACTAGTCTAACTTGTCAGACGACTACTACACTACTAATTTATAACTACTTCTAGACTCGCAGGTGAAAAAAAAAAAAAAAAAAAAAAAAAGAGACTGCTTAAACTTTTTTTTCTTTTTTCTTTCTTCCTTGTCTGTCTTCACTGTCTGTCCATCTTTACCTTCAGTCAGTTCCCCCTGTTTCCTGTTTCCCGCCTCTTTTTTTATCTTTCTGTCTCTCTCTTCGTTCCTCATCATCATCATCTTTATTTTTTATTTTCTTTTTCATTTTTTTTTATTTTTTTTTTTTTTATCAGTCTCTTCATCTAATTCTTCATCCTCTAGTTTCACTCTCATCTTTACTTCCATCTCAAAATATTCACCTTTTACTCTGTCAGTCTTTTTTGCTTGATTGATCATCACCAATGCGTGGCCACTCCTCCAAGGAGTCTGACTATTCCGACATGAACATCCCCCTGACGTCTGCAGAGGGCCAGTTCGGTGGATTCGACAACAGTAGCAGCAATACTTCCCTCAACTCTCCTTCTTCTACTTCACAGGCCCGATATCCTCCTGAGAGGTCTGCCACTTCATCTTCGGGTCAGGGTAAAGTTCATAAACCTCCGTCGGCTTGGAAGTCGTTCGTGGCTAATTTCACTGGTCAATCTAGAGATAACCAGGAGGGCATCCGTATCATTTATCTCAACAATCCAGAACGAAATGCTCAGGGCAAATACCTGCACAATCGCATCTCTACTTCCAAATACAACTACTTTACCTTCTTGCCAAAGTTTTTGTATGAACAGTTCTCCAAATACGCCAACATCTTTTTCTTGTTCACCGCATGTATTCAGGTATAGAAAAGAAAAGAAAAGTCCTCCTTGCTACTACATACTCTGCTATAATTGTGAATGTTTGAGTGCACACACAACTTACGCTTCAATTTTTTTTTTTTTTTTTTTTTTTTTTTTTTTTTTTTTTTTTTAAATTGTATTAGCAAATCGAAGATGTATCTCCCACATCCAGATATACAACTGCAGTTCCCTTGGCGCTTGTCTTGTTTGCTACAGCTGTCAAGGAGGTCATGGAAGACTTTGTAAGTATCGTTTGGAAGGACTAACGTATAAGAGAACAATCTAAATTTGAATGATCCAGACCATTGTCAGAAAAAAAAAAGAGACAGAAAATGGATCATTCACAAGTTATTTAATTCCTATTTAACTCCTTTTTTTTAATCAAAATAAAAAGAAACGACATGCATCAGACAGTGAAACCAATGCACGAAAGTCCAAGGTTCTTCAAGGAAACGCATTTGTGCCCAAGCCGTGGCATTCGATTAAAGTCGGTGACATTGTACGTGTGGAGGGAGGCGAGCCCTTCCCTGCAGATCTGGTCTTACTGAGCTCTTCTGAACCAGAGGGAATGTGTTACATCGAAACTAGTAACTTGGATGGGTAAGATAACAACAGCCAACTTTTGCAACAAACAAAATATGACATGAAACTAAAAAAGACTTGGCGATTTTGGACAAGAGGATCGCGTGGCTGTACTGCACAGCCTCAGGCAGAGATTTCTATTTTTGCTGATTTTTTTTTTATACTCTAACCTTTTTCACAAACAGCGAAACCAATTTGAAGATTAAGCAAGCATTACCAGAAACCGCCAGCTTGCTCACACCGCTGGATGTATCGCAGATCGGAGGGCTCATTCGCTCAGAACAACCCAACAACAGCCTCTACACTTTCGAAGGAACTTTGCTTATGAACGGTGCACATGGACAACCCAAAGAGCTACCACTTGATCCCACTCAAGTGCTTCTCAGAGTAAGCTTTTTCCTTTTTTTTTTTTTTTTTTTTTTCTTTTTTCTTTTGAATGCCGTATTGTTGATTCATTTGATGTCAAATATCCGGAACTTAATAACAATAATAATAAAACTGACGATAACTTTTATTTTATAAACTTTATTTCATAGGGTGCTCAACTTCGCAACACTAACTGGGTCTATGGTATTGTCATCTTCACAGGTCACGAATCCAAGCTTATGCGTAATGCGTCGGCAACTCCTATCAAACGCACCTCGGTGGAAAAGATGACAAACGTTCAGATCATCTTCTTGTTCGGCATTCTTCTGGCCATGTCTCTCGCCAGTGCTATCGGCAACATGGTCATTACGAATAACAACCTTGACAAGCTTTTATACATCAGCGTCACTAGATCATCTTGGTCGGATTTTGGGCGCAACATTCTCACCTTCTTGATTCTGTACAACAATTTAATCCCTATCAGTTTGATGGTTACCATGGAGGTTGTCAAGTTTTGGCAGGCGCAACTCATCAATTCGGATCTGGACATGTATTACGAAAAGACCGATACCCCTGCTCTCGCCCGTACCTCCTCATTGGTTGAGGAGCTCGGACAGATCGAATACATCTTTTCGGACAAGACTGGAACATTGACATGTAACGAGATGGAGTTCCGTCAGTGCTCTATTGGAGGATTGGCTTATGCGGATGTGGTTGAAGATGGAAAGCAGGCTCGTGTTGAAGATGGCATGGAAGTGGGTGTGCACGACTTTAAGCAACTTGATGCCAATCTTAAGAATCATCCCACTAGCAATGTCATTGATGAGTTTTTGACACTCCTTGCAGTCTGTCATACTGTTATTCCAGAGCGACAAGAGAGCAATCCCACAGGTACTTTGCAGAGACAAAATGTTCTTCATATTAAACAATTACGGTTGTAATTTTTTTTTTCCCTCATTTCAGTTAAAGTCTTCATTACCGACCTTACTGACCTTACTGACCTTACTGATATATGCATTTGTATTTCATTTCTCTCCCATTCATTACAGAAATTATTTACCAAGCATCTTCACCTGATGAAGGAGCGCTTGTCTCTGGTGCTGCTACCCTAGGATACAAGTTCACGACTCGCCGACCCCGTTCAGTTAACATCCAAGTTGGTCCTCATGATCTGGAGTATGAGATCCTTAACGTGTGTGAATTCAATTCGACCCGCAAACGCATGTCAACCATTGTGCGTGGACCAGACAAAAAGATCAAGCTTTACTGCAAAGGTGCAGACACTGTTATTTTGGAGAGATTGGGCACTGAGAATGAGTTTGTGGATGCAACCATGCAGCATTTGGAGGACTATGCTACGGAAGGTCTTCGCACCCTTTGTGTTGCCATGAGAGAAATCCCTGAGAGTGAATACCAAAACTGGTGCCAAATTTACGACCGCGCTGCTACTACTATCCAAAATCGATCTGATGAACTGGATAAGGCTGCAGAGTTGATTGAGAAGAACTTATTCTTGCTCGGTGCTACTGCCATTGAGGATAAGCTTCAGGATGGTGTTCCTGAGACAATCCATACATTGCAGCAGGCAGGCATCAAAGTTTGGGTCCTCACTGGAGACAGACAGGAAACCGCCATCAACATTGGATACAGCTGCAAGTTGATTCAAGAAGATATGTCACTGATTATTTGTAATGAAGCAACACACTGGGAGACTAAGGAATTTTTGGAGACTAAAGTCAAGGCCATCAAGTCGACTTTCCAGCGTGGCGATGATATTGAACCACTGGCACTCATTATTGATGGTAAATCTCTTGGCTTTGCACTGGAGAAAGATATCGAAAAAGTGTTTTTGGAACTGGCTTGTCTCTGCAAAGCTGTCGTCTGCTGCCGTGTATCCCCTCTTCAGAAGGCATTGGTCGTCAAGTTGGTCAAGCGTAATCTCAACTCGATTCTTTTGGCTATCGGTGATGGTGCTAATGATGTATCTATGATCCAAGCTGCTCATGTGGGCGTTGGTATCTCTGGATTAGAAGGTCTTCAAGCTGCTCGCAGTGCCGACTTTGCCATTTCTCAATTCCGCTACCTCAAGAAGTTGCTCTTGGTTCATGGTGCTTGGAGCTATCAGCGTCTCAGCAAACTGATTCTTTTTAGTTTCTACAAGAACATTTGTTTGTACATGACTCAATTCTGGTATGCATCCTATAACTGCTTTTCTGGACAGACTGTCTATGAGTCATGGACCATCTCACTTTATAATGTCGCCTTGACTGTACTGCCGCCCTTGTCTCTTGGAATCTTTGACCAGTATGTCAGTGCTAGGATGTTGGACCGTTACCCTCAGATGTATATGCTAGGACAGAAAAGCGAGTTTGTAAGTTGTGTAACTTTTTCTACATATGAGTTGAATCGATCTGTTAAAGATCAAGATTTGTTGCTAATGCCTGGATGATCCCACTATCCGCCTCATGTGATTTACTTATAGTTTAATGTTAAAACATTCTGGGGATGGGCATCCAATGCTATTTACCATTCTGTTGTTCTGTTCTTTGCCGTGGCATTTATCTTCAGGAACGATTTGATTACTGTCACTGGTACCATTGGCGGTGCTTGGGTCATGAGTGTAACGCTTTACACGGCTGTTTTGGGCACTGTGCTTTTGAAGGCAGGATTGATCACAGAGTAAGTTGGAAAGCAAACTGAGTTGCTTTTTTTTTTTTTTTTTTTACAAGGTTGTTCCACAGATCCTAATGTGCTTATTTTTGGTTTTATTTTTGTTCGCTCATAGTCTTTGGAACAAATACGCGTATATTTCCATTCCTGGCTCGATGCTTTTCTGGCTGGGCTTCTTCCCACTGTTTGCAATTATTGGTGCAAAGGTCGGATTGACTCCTGAATATGCCGGCGTTGTAGGACCCATTTATAGTCAACCTGTTTTCTGGCTCACAATCATCCTCCTACCCATGTTCTGCAACTTGCGTGATTACACTTTCAAGTAGTACGTATTCATCCGTCGCTTTTTTTCTTTTATTTATTTTGATAACCAATACCTCTACTCATGTACTTGGTCACCATTGACTCACACTTGTTTTTTTGTATTTCTTTACTCATTCGTTTAATAGTATGAAGCGTACATTCTTCCCAAGGACATATCATTATGTACAAGAGATTCAAAAGCTGAACATCCCAGATTACCGACCCAGGATGGAGCGATTCCGAAAGGCAGTGCACAAGGTGCGGAACATCCAACGTCTCCGTCGCAACCGCGGATTTGCATTCTCGCAAAACGAATCTGGCACAGGACGTCTTGTCAGAGCATATGATACCACGGCGCAGAAGCCTCGCGGCTAAAATACAATTTTCGTTACAAGATTGGAGGAAAATGAAAAAAAAAAAAAAAAAAAAAAAAAAAAAAATTAATGAAAGAGGAGGAAGGAGGCATTTTTTCGTTAGGAACATTTTAAAAAATGTAGATAGAATCATTAAGTATTAAAAAAAAAAAAAAAAAAAAAAAAAAAAGTAACCAGAAGCAACATCGAAAAATATATTAGGAGTACGCGAGGCTGTTTTTTATACAGCTTGTTCGAGTAGAGAGCATAAGAAGAGTATGAATGGCTGAAGCAATAAAATTTCTGTGTTTGCGGGCGCTCAGTAAACTAATCACGGAGCTTCTTTTGGCTCTTTTTGATCATGTTATTGCATTTGTTCTATCTGATTTCATCTTATTCAGCGCCCGTGTATTGTAGCTTCTGTTGTCGTTGTCGAAAAACGAACTTTTATGAAAACACTGGCAATCTCTCACCGGTGCCACACTTTCCGATCAAGACAACTTTGAACATAAACTCAACAAAATGCGTCGCAGAAACGTTCCTTTTTAACCTAATAGAAACAATTTGGTAACACCACTGCATAGTGCATTGCATTACGTCGCATCTGTGTTGGCGTCAGGGGAACACGATTGCGATTAGGATAGGGAGGTTATTATTGGCCAATCATGACAACAGATATAAGCAAAGGGGGGGAAAGAGAAACCCTTTAAATGGCACGGTAGTCTGTTTGGACACGTCGTCACGCGTCCCATTACGCGTCGGAGGAGCAAGACAATATAAAGAAACCTTTATTCTTTTTCAATTCCAACAGCATAAACATGAAGAGCAAGAGGAGCCATAGGAAATAAGAGAAAAAGCATCAGTTTCGATGTGATTGGGGAGAGTCAGCATACAGATCATAGCCTGTTACATGTATTCATTCCCACTTCTCCAAAATGGGCTTTGATGATTGTGGAACAAGAGGAATAAAATCTTTTTTTTTTCATCAAAGGTTTATTAATTAAACGTAAACGCACATAGGAATGTGAACAAATAGACATGTTAAATATACTACGTAATGTTCGTCTAGCACTTGATGACCAGCGCTATTATTGATGAACTCTTTGCCTTCTTGAGGTGAGGGTTGTCCCGAGCTTTTGATTACGGTCAATGGCAGTTATACCAGCCATGAATGGTATCCATGTTATCAGTGATCTCTCTGTTCGGATATGGACAAAAGCAGGTAGAAATTAACACAAAAATTATGAGCATTCACATTTAAAGTCAATCTCCAAGATTAGGAAAGAACTTCATTCCTATAGTGGAGGTTGACTATTGCCGACCGTATGAGCAATTTTTCCTTACCAAAACCATTCTGAATGGGGAACTGTTAATAATAAGAGGCAATCAATATGAGGTTAGAAATGCAATACAAATATCTATTATTTGCACTGTGGCTGTATAAACTTTTTTTTTCCTTCTCTCTTGTTTCCAAGTCAAAGGCGAATCCTCTTTTCTTCACTCTCCATCTCTCATTCCATTTTACTTCCTCATTCCATTCTCTTTAATTTCTTTTTTTGTTTTTTATTATTTTTATTATTTTTATTATTATTATTCTTAGTACACATAGACTACAATTTGAAAAAGTACGGCTTAAAAACATGTCAATCAATATAGGAGCAAGGTCACTACAAAGTTGCACGGTGCCAAAGGCCAAGATTATGATTGTCGGTGCTGGCATTGGTGGCCTTTTCTTGGCCGGACTATTGGAACGTATTGGCGTTTCATATCATGTCTACGAGCGTGCATCGGAACTTCGTGCACTTGGTAAGTTATTAGATTAAAAAAAAAAAAAAAAAAAAAAAAAATAGAAAAATGGACAGAAAGAAAACATTTTTATTAATTGTTAGATCAAATAAATTCACTTCCTTGATCGATAACAGGATCCATCATGACATTGGGGCCCAACATTTTGCCTGCATTTGAGCAGCTGGGTCTGTTAGAGGAACTTCAAAGTATCTCTGTACCACATTATAAGGCGTACATGTATGAGAAAGTGAATATGACAAAGCTTGGTACTATCGAGATGTTAACCAAGAAAAGGTAAAACTATGTAAAAAACAGCTTTCTCATTTTGCAATTTAAAAAAAATAAAAAAATAAAATAAAAAAAAAGAATTGATTCATAATAAATTTTATATAAATAAATATCTATGAATAAATAGTACAGGATACGATGATGTGCTTTTTGAACGGCCCAAGCTTTATAAACTATTACGGAAGCAGGTTCCAGTCGAAAAGATTAGTCTTGGCAAGAAAGTTATTTCTGTGGAAGAAAAAGGCGAGAAGGTGTTTATTCACTGTTCAGACAATACTTCCTATGAAGGAGACATGCTCGTTGGAGCTGATGGTGCATATAGTGCTGTACGACAGAGCCTTTACAAGCAGTTAGACGATCAAGGCCGTCTTCCCAGAGTAGATCTAGAGGACTATTCGATCGGATGGGTTAGTATGGTTGGAATCGCACAGCTTCCTAACCTTGACCGTTATCCAATACTCAAGGATGGCGCTTCACATTTTTCAAATGTTCTTGGGGAGAACTTTAAGATCGTAAGTCATTAACATTTTTTTTTTAAAAAAAAAAATCTTTACATTCAAGTATATACCAATATTTAATTTGCCTTTTATTTTTTGTTCAGTGGACTACAGTTAGGGTGCCTAAGGACAGGGTCTGCTGGGCGGTAGCAAAGCAGCTGACGCCTGAAGAGGCCAAGAATGAAAAGTTTAACAACGGGAGCGGTGGTATTACAGGAGGTGAATGGGCTACAGATGCAGTTGAGGCTATGATTCAGGAGTTTAAAGACCAACCTTGTCCATGGGGGGGTAAAATGAATGATCTCTTTGAGCTAACGGACAAAAACCTCATCTCTAAAGTATTCCTGGAAGAAAAGATGTTCAAGACCTGGTTTGATGGTCGCATTGGCCTCCTTGGAGACTGTAAGTTTAAGTCTAAACTAAGCTTAGAAAATATTTGTTCTTTCCCATGAGATCAACCATTATAACCAACTAACGTTATTGTTTCGATCTTTCGACTTATTTCTGTATTTGACTATTTAATAATAATAATAACAATTACAGCATGCCACAAGGTATTTTAACCCTCTCAACTTATTTATAAATATCTATCCTTTTTGCTGACATTACTGACTTCACAAATCTTTATCGCTATTTTCTTTTTCTTGTTTCAAGATGGTTCCTGGGGCTGGTCAAGGTAACAAAGAACATTTTATAACAAAGAACAGGCCGCCACCTTTTCTTTTTTTCATTAGCTTAGAGCTGTTGTTATTATAATTATCCAACCAAAATTAACGAATACCTAAATGTCTCTTTAAAAACAGGGGCAGTCAACGCTATGCAGGATGCTGTAGTGCTCGCTAATTGCATTTATCACTTGGAAGACACATCCAGTAAAAGTATTACTGCAGCATTTGAGGATTACTTTCATCAACGATATAACCATGCATATGGACGGTTTCAAGACAGCAGCAATGCCATGAAAAGCATTTATGGTCAAGTAAATGCCTTTTTTTTATTTTTGTTTTTTTTTTATTTGATCTTTCTCTTCAATGTTTTATTGCTAATTCCTTGCTTGTGTATCTGCTTTTTTTTTTTTTGTTAGACATGGACGGATAAAATCCGTAGATTTTTGACGTTTAATATTGTTCCTAAAATAGTGGTTTCTTGGCAATTGAGTACGGTTTATGAGTATCGTCCTCAGATCGAATGGTTACCACAGATTCCAAATCGAGGGACAACAAAAGTGCTTCCTCAAGTGAGTAGTAATAGAAGGAAAATTGAAAATGAAGAATTGGCATCTGCTGTTTGACTACAACAAGTACAACATTAATAATAATAAAGTGGTTATGCTTAAAAGATGAGTAAGGCATAAAATACCTGTTTGGTCCTTCCATTTGATGTCTTGTCTACCAAAAATGTCTAATGCATGGCACTATTTTATTAAAATGAGCAACACGTGGCACGGCACGGCATGGCATGGCATAGCACTGTATCACCTATGCAAATGCAAAGCGGAAGAGAGTGAAAAAGACAGGTCTTTGATCGATACGATATTTTTTATAGCAATTTTGAGCCCAGAATTGGGCTGCCATCCCCCGGGGGAAGTGAGTTTGAGCGCTTTTTGAAACTCTCATATGTATCATTCATGCTCTATTGAAACTTGTTTCCATCCTCAATCCCTCTTCCCCCTTCTCTCTTCTTTCTTTTCATTTTAAATGTGTATTCTGCATTCATCTTGTTCTCTTCATCTTTCATTCTAATTCCTTAATTTCATTTCATTCATTATGGAAACGCAAAATCATCAACAAACAGAAACCAAGTCTGAAAAGCCAAATGTTATGATCGTGGGTGCTGGTCTAGGAGGACTCTTGCTGGGCATTCTTCTGGAACGTGCAGGAATTCCCTATCACATCTATGAGCGAGCCACTAAGCTCCGTGCCTTAGGTAATTACTTTATGGGTAGTTTGTATTTACGTTATTGAAACAGGAATAACTGGAACTACAAACACACACACATTAAACATGTGTTTCTCCATCTATCCCGTTAATTTAAAGAAACACATAACATTTATTTACCTTTATATTTTAAAATGGTTTTGATAATATTTTAGGATCGGCATTAACCTTAGGCGCCAATATACTTCCAGTGTTTGAGCAACTTGGTTTACTTCCAGCATTAGAAGAAATATCGTTACCCGTTCCTTCCTTGGACATTTACAAATCAGACATGAAGCTCTTTGGGTCGATCAAACTGATGGGTCGGAAAGGGTAAAAAAGGAGAAAAAAAAACAGTGCACCGTTACACTGCATCGAATGATCGAATGGTAACACAACGGCTGATTTCTTATTGATTCGGATGTCACCTTTCACAACTAGAACTGGTTATGAGAATTTGCTCTTTGAGAGACCAAGGTTGTATGAGCTTTTGCTCAAACATGTTCCTTCCGAGAAGATCACGCAGGGCAAAAAAGTCATCCGAGCAGAGGAAAAAGAATCTGATAAGGTAGTGATCCATTGTGAAGATGGTTCCACATTTGAAGGTGATATCCTTGTGGGCGCAGATGGCGCTTATAGTAAGATCCGACAGGATCTTTTCAATCGTATGGGAGAAGAAGGTACGCCTGTCCCCAAGGAGGATTTAGAGGATATGGTCTTGGGAGATATTTGTATGGTCGGTGTAGCAAAGCCCAGTCATCCTGAAAAATATCCACAGCTCAAGAGTAACATTTCGCACTTTATGTGCGTTCTTGGCAAGGATAGAAAGAGTGTAAGTAAAAAACATTTATTCGCTTTTACATCTTCTTCCTTCACTATCCTTTTTGAATTATCGGCTGTTGGCTCGATCGACTAACCTTAATGTTCTTTCATATAATTAGTGGCATGCTGTTAGTGTTCCCAACAACCATATTTGTTGGTCATTGATTGTCCAGCTGACAGAGGCTGAGGTGAAAGAACAAAAATTCCGTAACACAGAATGGACTCCAGAGTCAAATGAGGCGATGATTAAAGATTTTTATGACCTACCCTCTCCAATGGGAGGAACAATGGGTGAATTGATCGATGAAACACCCAAGGACCTTATCTCGAGAGTATTTTTGGAGGAGAAAATCTTCAAGACTTGGTTCCATGGCCGGACTGTCCTTCTTGGTGATGGTACAGTATAAAGAATAACAATGACATACATGATGCTTTATGTGTAGGATAAATGAGCCATTCTTACATTTTAACCGCTGATGCATTATTTCTCTATGATTTTTTTTTAAAAAAAAAAAAAAAAAAAAAAAAAAACTGCAGCTTGTCACAAGGTACGATGACATAAAAAAAATTTTTGCCTTTCCTATTCTGGTTTACTATGAATGAAATAACTCATATTATTGTGTATTTGCGTGTATGAATATAGATGCTTCCTGGAGCCGGTCAAGGTAAGAGAGCAAATCCTATTGCCGTTGTCATTGTTTGTTTATCTGTTTGTATCGAGGAGAAGTGGTCATTAATTGACTCTTTGTTTTCATTTGTTGAGCAGGTGCCGTAAATGCAATGCAAGACGCAACAGTCCTTGCCAACTGCATTTATAACATGGCAGGTAGATCACAAGAGAGCGTCATAGCAGGCTTTGAAGAGTATTACCGACAACGATACCCTCATGCACTCCAAAAGTTCAACGTCAGCAAAGAATGGTCCATGGTTATGTTTGGACAGGTACTGGATATGTCTGCAAAATTTTTTTTTTTTCCCTTTTTCCTCGACGAAAAACAGTATTTTAAAAAGTTTTTTTTTTTTTTTTTTTTTTTTTAGACTTGGATCGAGCGCATGGTTCGACATATTATGGTCAAGTATACGCCTGAGTGGTTATTTATGCGCACACATACCAAAAACTTTGCACATCGTCCCCAGATTGCTTGGCTCCCACTGGCCGAAACCCGCGGTATGCTTCCTGCATTACCACAGGAAGGAGTTAGGAAGCTACTTCATGAAAACTAAAGGTTGAGACTTGATAGATTAGTGGCCTTTCGTAAAATGTAATGAGGTAGCTTGCAGAAAGAAAAGTGAAGAGTATATTATTTATTTCAACATCTAATATTAATAAAAAAGTAATATTGATCCCGAATTCTTCTTCCGTAGATGTAGAACCGCAACCCTTCAGCCCTCAGTCTTCAGCCCTCAGATCTGCTTAAAGTAGTCTAATATCCTAGCACGTTTTTTTTCGGTTAATTTATTTGTAGATCCTTTTTCTGCCTAATGGGTTTTGCTATATTTTATTAGTCCCTAAACCTTGACGCGCTCATAGAATAAAATAATGAACGCGTCCCATATTCATAATAACTTAATAGCTCATCTGGTGCTTTGATGGCACAAGCAACTACTTCTTCCGTGATCAATTTTCTTTGTGATTAGAGGTGTGTACTTGTTATTGAATATTTCAAAAGCTCTAATGAAAAGGGTGAGGGATTAATAACCGTTGGTAAGTTAAACATAAATTCACCACATTCACCAACACTTCTTAAAGTCATAAGACTATGGAAATATATCGAACACATCGAGACCATGAGCTCAAGACGTAAACGCGCGAAATGACATTACTAAAAAAGAAAGAAAGAGAGAAAGAAAGGTGCAAAAGATTTCTATTTTTGGGTCATTCGACCGGTCACTGTTGACCAAGGTAATATCCAGATGCGGCTCTAGTAAGGCATACACATGCATATGTACTTTGACCCTAAAAAATTACGCGAATACTTGCGACAAAACACATTTTAAACATGTACAAGAGCAGTTGCATGCTTACCGTGCAACATTTAAATCCTTTATACTAAACATGTATAAAGTTTCTAACAACAGTCATCTTTTTTTTTTTTTTTTTTTTATTTTTTTTATTTTTTATTCGCTCCACAAACAACAAATATACACATGTAGACTTACTTACTTGCTTTAAAAGAAGTATATGTGAAAAAACCGGTTTCGATTTTAATTGCTGAAGCTGCTCATGTTCACTGGGCTCATTATGATCAATGCTTATGCCATTGTCTGCCTTTCCTTATAGATCCAATACCTTTGTAAAAAAAAAAAAAAAAAAAAAATAACGAAATGAAATGAAATGAAAGAAGTAAAAAGGAATACATTCATATGCATGTACATACAGTGATATGGATATCAATGTTTGAAATATCATGCACATCCCCATTCACAAATTTGGATTTCAAGGTGATCATAGCCAATTCTTTGGATGAATTTTACCAGAACAAATAAAAATGCAATACACCATTGCACACCACTGACAAACTGGTATTAATAAAGATTCGAACCAACAACAAAAAGAGACATCTAATAGATTTGAACCAGAGAGAGCCTGATGCGTTCGCACTTTTTTTTTTTTTTTTTTTTTTTAAAAAAACGCTCGTGTCGATGTTGAGCTGTTGCGTACCTGCATGCGTATTTTTTTTTTTTTTTTCTTTTTTTTGGTTCCCATTTATTGACATTGTACAGCAGCATCCATTCGGTCCATAGAAAAGAGTCTGTTTTTCCAACAGAATGTGTGAGTGTGAGTGTGTGTAACATCCGTTGCAGGAAGGGGAAATGGGAGGCAGAGGGCGAGGGGGGCATGCATGAAGCGATCGAAAAGACGAGTAAAAAAAACATACTTCAGTTGCATTCTCTTTTTCATTGATTTTCTTTCATTCATTGATTCTCATCCTTCATTGATTCTCTTCATTGATTTATTCATTCATTTCTCTATTCAAGAAGACACTGTCCAGTTTCTGTCTGTTTGTTGTATTAGAGCATTTTAATAAAAACCTACAGACATACTCTCTTTACTTCATTCTCATAACTAGATTTGTTCTTTCATACACTCTATCTACTCAATCCTGCTCTCTGTACAGCATATTCTCGCCAACTTTATCTCTTCTTTTCTATACATATCACCATATACCCATTAATAATGTCCGTTCAGGATAGACAGTCCAGTCCTCAGGGTGCAACAGATGGATATAAACCCGGAATAATGATTGTGGGTGCTGGCCTTGGAGGACTAACACTAGCCATGCTCTTTGAGCGACTTGGTTATCCTTATCATGTCTTTGAACGCGCCACAAAACTTCGTCCTCTTGGTATGGAGCTGTTCAATTTCTCATCCACACATTCCGTTCAGTTTAGGAAGATCAATTCTTCCCTTTTTTTTTTTTTTTTTTTTTTTTTTTAGCATACTAACACTACGAATGTTAATATTAAACAAAACAGGCTCTGCAATGACGTTGGGGCCAAACATTCTTCCTGTCTTTGAGCAGCTTGGTCTGTTAGAGGAGATTGAGAAGATGTCTTTCCCTTGTCCAGCTTTGGAGATTTACAACCATGATAACACTAAATTTGGCTCTGTCAAATTAATGGGGCGAAAAGGGTAAAGACTTGACTCAAACATTGTTGCTTTCGCAAAAAAAAAAAATTAAGATTAATTTAATAGAAACAGCTTTAGTAACCTCGAAATCTCTGTACCTTTTGGCATGTGTTTTCTTTTTCTAATGTAATCATGTGACAGGACTGGATATGACAACTTACTGTTTGATAGACCTCAGCTTCATCAATTGTTACTGAGGCAAATACCTCCTGAAAGGGTTAGTTTTGGGAAAAAAGTGTTGCGGGTAGAAGAACAGGACGATCGAGTGTTCATACATTGCTCCGACAACTCTACATATGAAGGTGATATCCTCATTGGGGCCGACGGTGCATACAGTGGAGTACGTCAATCTCTTTACCGAAGCTTAAGAGAAAAAGGGCTCCTTCCAAGAGCCGATAGTGAAGATTTTGCTTTGGCTAATATCTGCATGGTCGGTGTGGCTGATCCACCTAACCCTGAAAAATATCCGCAGCTCAAGGATGACTATTCACATTTTTCAACCACTCTAGGAGAGAATATGAGAGCCGTAAGTGATTTTTCAACAATCATGCTTAGTCAAATTGACATTATTGCTTATTATTTATTATTTATTTTCTCTTCTTCGTATGACCCGATAGTGCACAGTAGTCAGTATCCCAGGGAACCGAGTCTGCTGGTCATTGACTGTACAGCTGTCAAAAGCAGAGGCCAAAGCCCAGCACTTCCGTAACTCGGAATGGGGACCTGAATCGAATGAATCTATGATCAAGGAGTTCCAAGATTTGCCCTGTCCATGGGGAGGTACCATGAAGGAGATCATCGAAGCCACCCCTAAAGACTTGATTTCCAAAGTTTTCTTGGAAGAGAAAATGTTCAAGACATGGTTCCATGGTCGAACAGCTCTTTTAGGTGATGGTAAGGTTAAAGTCATGAACACATTAGCCCTTTTTTTTTATGAGTGAATTTCCCATGAAGACCAATTCATCCCATTAACCTTATTTGATATCTGTCTCCTGAACTTTACTTTAAAAGCATGCCACAAGGTACAGTATAAATATACATAACATCAAGTAGACCGTCAATATGGTTTACACTCAGACCTTTGTTATCTATTATCCTGATATAACTTTTACGGTTTACTCTTTTTTTTTTTTTTTTTTTTTTTTTTTGGATCAATTACAACAGATGCTTACTGGAGCCGGCCAAGGTAAAAAAAAAAAAGATAACAACTTTATGCAATAGCTGTGAAAGGTAAAAACATTATTGACTTTTAATTTATATTTCTTTTTTCTCCCTTTCTTTTTCTATTTCAATAGGTGCTGTCAACGCCATGCAGGATGCTGTTGTTTTAGCAAACTGCATCTACAATATGCCCAACACCAGAACCAAGAGTGTCACTGCAGCATTTGGGGAATACTATCGTCAACGATATCCCCAAGCAGCTCAAAAGTTCAACGTCAGTAAAGAATGGTCCATGGTGATGTTTGGACAGGTAATGAATGTCTAAAAAAAAAAAAAAAAAGTGTTTTTTAAAACCTCATAATTCACATGATATCATGTATAAACTTAATTTTAAACTTTTAATTTGTTAATAGACATTTGCAGCAAAAATCACTCGACACATCATGGTGAACACACCGGATTGGCTGTTCCTCCGGACTCATTCCAGAAACTTTGCTTACCGTCCTCAGCTTGCCTGGCTTCCGCTCGTTGAGAATCGTGGGCCGCTACCTGTGCACCCACAGGAGGGTGTTCGAAAACCACTCTCACAAAGACCCATCCTACAATCACGATCGTCCACAAATACCGCGGCAACAATTGAAGGACAGGAACAAGCAGCACAAGCAGAGGCGGTTTAGATTGAAAGTTAGAGTTATGACAGGGTTACAACATACATCTTTACATCTTATGTATACTATATACATTTATTTCCAAATAGCATTCTCGCATTTTTATTTTTATTTTTATTTTTATTTTTATTTTTATTATTATTTTTTGTAGAATAAATACACGCTTGAATAAAATTACAACTATGATATACGCCGCCATGTCCACATGTATGCTTTTACTTGGATTGTTGACCATGAAAAGAGCCGTTGGAACCAAGAAAAATTGAAATCTACTTCATTGGATAGATCTCTTCTTCCATTCTTTCTTTCTCTCCCATCTTCTCTTTTTTTCCTCTTTTTCCTTCTTCGTCTTCTTCTTGCTCTCCTTTTCTTTTCTCTTTATTTACCTATTTACTGCCACAGGATTCTGAAAGATATTCTCAACTTTGGAACGAACTTTCACTTTTTCTAGCAACCTTTGGAGGCAGCATAAAAGAAAAAAATGCCGCGACGTCATGAGAAAAACTCATGATGCTTTTTTTTTTTTTTTTTTTTTTTTAATTATTTATTTTATCGTGGATAAAACTAGCATGGCATGGCGAACATTCCTAATTCCTAGCAAGCATGTGTACTGGTACCTGTGCAAATGGCTCACAATGTCTGAGATCAAGACCCAGAAGTTTCGAACGCAGAATGGGGTCCTGAAGCGGCCGATAGCATGATCAAGGAACTTGAGGATGTTGCTTGTCCATGGGAAGGAACTATGGGTGACATCATCCATGCAGTCCCCAGAAACTTGACCTCAGAGGCCTTTTTGAAAGGAAAGGCTTTCCAAACCTGGTTCCATGGACGGACTCTCCTCCTTGATGGTAGAAAGGAAAAAAAAAAAAAAAAAAAAAAAAAAAAAGCATATTATGCTATTTGCGTAAGTAACGTTATACTGTACTGACACCATATAACTCATGTGCATTTACTCCATGCAACATTGAGCAAACAGCATGCCATAAGGCGAGGAACCGAAAATGGAAAAGTTTCACTGATGACAACGTAACTCATCCTCTGATCAACTTTTATTATTTATATTGTTATTATTATTATTAATGCTTCATGTACTGATCAATAGATGCTTCCAGGAGCTGACCTTGGCAAAGGGAAAGAGAAAAAAGAATGTATTTCGTTGCTCGTCTATGTTCATTCACTTTATGAATAAGTGCTCATTGACGTTCTCTTTATGTTACTACAGGCACAATGAATGCGATGCATGGTGCAATTGCACTTGCTAACTGGAAAACAACAGCCTCAAAAGCATTGCGGCTGCCTTCCAGGACTACTACCGCCAATGTTACTCTCGCGTACTGAACGCATTCCAGAGAAGCTCCACATGGCCTCAAGTTTCCTACGGTCAGATGTGCAATAACACATGTTTAAATGTATACCATGATATGCTAAGGAAACCTGGTCATTGTTACTAGCCATCCGCTTGAGATTACAAACATGGACTCGCTTCATCTACTACTAGACATGAAATGAACAGTTGTTGCATCGGGCGATGGTAAACTACATCTCTACTTGGATGCAGATCGAGCGGATACAAAAGAGTGCACATGCATGGCTTTCACTCATCCATACGCGCGGTTCCATACCCATGCTGCCGCAGGAATGCAAGCGAAAAGGTGATCTTTTCCTCCTGGAGGGGAATGGAATTGACTCATGTGCATAGTCTCATAATCTACTGTAGAGAATAATTGCATGGGAGTTGATACTCTCTAGGTTAAAGATAAGCTGCTGTGCGAAAAGAACTGGATCCGAGCCCCTTGGTTCTTCGATATCCAATACTTTTAGTCACTTTCTATTTTCCTTCAAGTTGAGGCAACTGATATGAAAAGAGAAAGATGACTGCTTCCGCTAGGTCTCCTGATCGTAGAATGCGGTATACAAATCCTCCAGGCGTGTGTCAGAAAAAAGAGAAATATTAGATTAAAGCTAATATTCATAAATCTGAATGTCTGTGTCTGTGCCATTGGCAATCGATTGTCATGCATGTATGCCAGGAAATAAAAATAAAATAAAAATAAAAATAAAAAAAACAAGCCTGCATTATCGACGCCATGCAGGATGCTATTGTTCTAGCAAGCTGTATCTACAACAAGTCTAACACCAAAACCAAGAGTGTCACTGCATTTGGCGAATACTATCGTTAATGACATTCTCAAGTAGCTCAAAAATTCAATAAAAAATGGCCCTTGTACATGTTTGAACAGGCAATGAATGTCTGTAAAAAAAGATGAGTACTTTAAAACTGAATAATCCAGATGAATTGGTACATTGAGTGTTAATTTACTAAGTTTTAAATACTTTGCTCTATTCTTTAGACATTTGCAGCAAAGATTATTAGAACATCATGGTGAATACACCAGACTGACTATTCCTTAGTCTGGGCTTGCCCCAGGAACTTTGCTTAACATCCCCAGGCTGCCTAGCTTCCGCTCATTGTGAAGCGGTCCCTGTACATGCGCAAGAGATTGTTTAAAGGCATATGTATAAAGATGTTCTACAAACACACAATTGAAAACTCTTTCTTGAAGTGTAACATTACATTCTCTCTGTGCCATTGCTCTCATCTTCCCTCTCCACCACCATCCCTCCACCAACCCACATTTTAATCACTGAGGATACATCCCATACACATGAAAGGAGCCGTTGCAATAAAGGGGGATTAAAATTCATCTCATTGGGTTGATTAAATTGATAATAGTCAGCAACATTAGGGGACTTGCAGCCCATACTTTTAGAAAGAATCACTTTAGTAGGCTTATCTTTCCCCTTCCTACATGTTGCGCCCTGCCTTAATTCATTGAAGAGCAGAGGCGGGTAGATCAAGGGTTGGGGATATGCAAGTTGTTAATAAATGTGGATTGTCTGGCATGAATTTCTTCCTTCTTTCCTTCCTTCCTTTCTTTCTAATCCTGGAAAATAGCCATCCCTGTCCTTCCCCTTCCCCTCATCATCATGTCTGAACCTGTAGCCATCGCCACCTCACCAGAACATATTCCGGGGGTGATAATTGTCGGTGCTGGTATCGGAGGCTTGTTGCTCGGTACAATCTTAGAAAGGCTCGGATATCCGTATCGTATTCTCGAACGGGCTACAGAAATGCGATCACTAGGTAAAGCGCTTAACAAGGTTAAAAAAAATAAAAATAAAAAAAGATTGTTAAATCTCACTATCGCAACTTTTCGTTATTATAAATGTCGTTAGGATCTGCCATGACATTATCGGCAAGTGTGTTGCCAGTCTTTGAACAGCTCGGACTGTTGGAGGAACTGAAAAAGATTTCATTCCCTTGTTACTTGCTTGACTTTTACACCTCCAACCGAGGTTTCTACGGCGCCATCAATATGGAGACTCGGAAAGGGTAATAATAAAAGCGGCGGTGAAGCATGAAGATTTTTTATTTTTTATTTTTTATTTTTTTGATAGCATAAAACAATATTACTGACCCTATGCTTATCCTTTCATTAAATACCATGGACATAATACTTGAACAACAATGGATACAATTCAATGGTTAAAAAATAAAGCTATACAGGATATGATACCTACATCTTCTCTCGCCCAGAACTGCACGAGCTCCTACGAAAACAGATCCCAGAGCACAAAATCAGCCTTGGTAAACGAGTGCTCCGGACCGAGGAAATAGGCGGAAGAGTGTCGGTGCATTGTGGAGATGGGACTACATGGGAAGGCGATATCCTTGTAGGTGCAGATGGCGCTTACAGTGGAGTCCGCCAAAGCCTATATAAGCGTTTAGAGGAACAAGGTATTAGTCTTCCAAAAGGTGATTCAGAGGACTTTACAATTGCCAACCTCTGTATGGTCGGAGTATCAGAGCCACAAAACCCTGCAAAGTATACTATACTCAAGGATGAGTTTTCACATTTCTCAACAACCTTTGGAAGCAAGGGTGTGGTATGTATCTTTCCCAAAAAGCAGAAAGAACAATCGATATATTGCGGTATGAGAAATGATGAATAACACTTTAATTTTTTTTTTTTTTTTTTTTTTTTTTTATAAAAAAAAGTGCAGTGTGGTGAGTGTTCCTGGAAAACGTGTATGCTGGTACCTGAACAAGCAGCTCACAGCAGCTGAAGCCAAGACCCAAAAGTTCCGAAACACAGAGTGGGGTCCTGAATCGATCGATAGTATGATCAAGGAATTTGAGGATGTTGCTTGTCCATGGGGAGGAACTTTGGGTGAGATCATTCATGCAACCCCCAGAAACTTGATCTCGAAGGTCTTTTTGGAAGAAAAGGTTTTTGAAACCTGGTTCCATGGTCGAACTGTTCTCCTTGGTGATGGTAAGAGAAATAGAAAAAAATGCACATTGTGCTGTTTGAGCAAGTACACGCCATATTGTACTGGCACCATATAACTCATGTACTGTACATTTACTCCATGCAACATTGAGCGGATAGCATGCCATAAGGTGAGAAAAAACTCTTTGAAAAATGGAAATGCTTTACTGTGACACTGTAGCTAATCCTCTGATCACATTTTTTTATATCCTATGTGTCAATTAATAGATGCTTCCAGGAGCTGGTCTAGGTATGTTTAAAAGAAAAGAAAAGGATTGCATTTCATCGTTTGTATATGCTCTTTCGTTATTACTCTTATGTGTTTATTGACATTCTCTTCCATCTTTTTCGTGTTAAAACAGGCGCAGTGAATGCGATGCAAGATGCGATTGTGCTAGCCAACTGTATCTACAACATGGAAGATAACAGCCTCAAAAGCATTACAGCTGCCTTCCAGGACTACTATCGCCAACGTCACTCCCGCGCACTGAACGCATTTCAGAGAAGCTCTACATGGTCTCAGGTTTTCTACGGTCTGGTATGCAAAAGCACATATTTAAATGTACACCATGGTATGCTAAGAAACCAAGCCATTGTTACTGACCATCCGCTTGGCATTACAATCATGGGCTCGCTTCACCTACTATTAGACATGGAAGGAACGGTTATTGCGTCAGGTGATGATGAACTACATCCCAACCTGGGTGCATGATCGAATGGATGTAAAAGAATCTGCATATCGTCCCCAAATCGCATGGCTTCCACTCATCCCTGCCCGCGGATCTCTAGCCATGCTTCCCCAGGAAGGCAAGCGAATAGAAGATAATGAAA